GCAGGTCGAAATAAAACCTCAGCGAATCGTGCTCTCCTAACCAAACAGCCAAAAACTAGTTTGTCACGCAGCACACAGAGCACTTTTCACTTCTAATGGGATTAGTGTGATATTTGTCATCTCATGAGTGGGCTGCCTCTCACACCCTGATTTCCTCAAGACAGACATCCCACAGCGACTTGCTAATGGCGTCATCCCGCCTGTGTGATTTTTAAAAAACTCCCTGAATGTGCACATTGTTCGCTGTGAGGCACACTTGTTTGACGAGTCTAATCCCTTGTCATCCCATGTCGAAGGAAAACAAAAAGATGCAACACTTGGCTGCAGAGGATCAGTGTGTGTGTTTGTGTGTTTGTGGAGGTGCACGTAAACCCATCTCTGCCGTTCCCACACAAGCTCCTATAATCCCAGAAGATCAAGTGGAACGAGGCTGAAGTGTGACTGGGCGGGAGCCAGCCTGACGTCTTTAGTGAGGTTGACTCACACCCCTCATCACTTCCTGCCGTACAGCCGCTCTACGTCGTGCTTCTGTAAACTTCTCTTGGTTTATTTTGTCCCAATTATATCCAAAAACATTCCAGTACAAAACAGACTTTGTGAGATGTGTGAGTTGGACGAAGTTGAAACGGAGTCCCGTCTTCTTTTGCATTGTACAAAATATGACGATTATTGTTTCATGAAGTAAAATCAGAAATATTGGGGCGGACAGATGTGCAGAAACTGGAACGGCTGTTTAAGTTTGATGTGTTTAAACTTGCTAATTTTGTTTCAAAAGCTTGGAAAAGAAGACAAGCTATTCTGTTTAATTAGTTTGACTTCTTGCTTTCTCTTTTTCTTTCTTGAAAATGAATATAGTTTACCTAGTGCACTCTGATCCAGGAACGTTTTTAATTTACACACAATAATAAAATAAAAAACTAAACTAAACTAAACTATTATAATCTACGTTTTCATCTCGATTTAGATAAGAGATTTAAGACAACTAATCACAGATGTTTAGAACGTGTCAGGTTGGTGTGCAGCCATGTGTGGATTTCACAGTTAACATCTGTGTGAAAGCTTCGCATGCACTTCTATGTCATGCATGCTGAAAATAGACCTTAACAGTTCATTTTCCACCGTGCAGAGAGACATCAATCAAAGCCGAGTAGGTAATTTAAATTAACTGTGCAGAAAGCAGGCAGCTGTGACAGAACAACACTTTTTAAATCAGCTCTTGTGTGTAATGTGAAGGTTCATTTCAGAGGCATGAGCTCCCGTTTTTGTAATCAGCTGATTGAAACCTCGTTCTGAGAGGCGAGCTCTAAAGTACCTTGTTAGGTTGCAAATGTTACCGATAGTGACGTTTTCAGAGACCGCTGCCACAAAAAAAGCTTCTTTGTCAGTGTGGTGAGCATGAGCCGCTCAATGAATCTACATTTCTTTCAGTTTTTTGTTCATTGCTCGTATAATAATTAATGTCTCAAACCCGGAGCTGAGGGAGAAGCTCAGCTTTCAGGAAGAAGACCGCACCAAGTGCTCTGACAGCAGGGGGGGGGGGGGTGAAGCCGCAGGCTTGCAAAGTGAGGTATTGATAATTAAACGGACAGTGAGTAGATTTCACCACCAGGGGGCTCTCTATCAAAACATCATGCTACACCTTTCACCACCCCTGATGAAAACGACCTCCGAGTTGACCAAAGTCGAGACGAACGAGCGAAAAGCGAATACAGGAGTAATGTGGTGACGAAAACAAATGTTCAGATTTGAGTTTTTGCCGGGTAATGGTCTAACCCTGCCACACAGCAGGCCATCTCATTTGTATGAAAGAATCAACAGTTTGAGTTCTGTGTCTCAATGAGCTGAGCTGACAGCCAGCAGCACCCACCTGTCTCTAATAACAACAACGCCCCTAATTATGCATACCTTTAAAGAGGACATACTATCCCCCCCTTCTCCACCTTTTCAAACAGTCCCCTGTGGTCTAAATGAAACATCTGTGCTGTGCTTTGGTCAAAATATAACATGAATCAAGCACCAGAGGAGGTTTGTGACCCTGTATAAACCAGCTCTCTCAGAACGCTCCGTTTTGGTGTGTGTGTCTCTTTAAATGCAATGACCCCCCCCTGAGTTTTCCCAGTAGACATCACTCCTCTGTAGAGAGAATAAAAATGGTGGACCTATGTAAAAGTTTTGCTCTAGGCTGGGGGTGGAGTCCATGGGTGGAGATACCAGGGGAGGGGAGGAGATTTTCTTTTTTACCAGAATCCCACTGTGACATCACAAGGACAGCAAATATGAAACGGAGCATTTTTCTCTGTCTTGTAAGACTTAGGCAGACCACAAACAAAGGATTGGATGGGTTTATTTCACATTTTGTGGTCAGTAGACACTCAGGTTACCCAAATATATGTTCAGAAACACTGTACAAGTGAATTTTTCATAATATGTCCCCTTTAAGATTTAAAACACCTTAGACTTCTATTTATGTTTTCAGTTAACAACATAAAAGTTGTCCTGAATAAAGGAATGCGCTACAGCTTTTTTACAAGGTATGGGGCCTAATCTTTAGCCCTTTTCATAGGGCAATTCCACAACAGCACCATAACGAAGCTCTGCCATCATTACATCTTTAAGACATTCAAATTGATTCCTCATTGGCGTAATATCGGTGTCCCAGTCTGTGGATTCATATCGCTTTACACACTTGATGAAGCACGGGAGAGAACAGCACCGCGGGAGATCCACATGCCCACAAACAGAGCCTCATAACGATGACAACAGCAACAACATAATGATGATTAAATCGAATAACAAAAGTTTTTTTTAATTATAATTTGTCCAAGAACTGTGTTAGATTGTGCTATTCCCATTATGGATGTGATCTGATAACAAGCGACCAAAATATGCAATTACTGTGTGAGGGATTTTGAATAATTTATCTTTCAGACTGATCCAGAAATAAAAGCCCAATAAACGTTTCAAAATGCAGAAAATGACGTCATTCTTTCCTTTTCTCTCCCCCCTGAGAATCACCTCTTGAGCCAACTATTTGAGGCGGCTGTGGGTCAGCGGTAGAGTTGGTCGTCTTTCAACTGGTAGGTCCGGGGTTCGATCCCCAGCTGCATGCCCGATGTGTTCTTCGGCAAGACACTTAACCACAAGTTGCTCCCCCTGCTTCCCGTTGATTATGAAAAGTCCACCTCTACAGTGTTTTTGAACATATATCTGGGTAACCTGAGAGTCTACTGACCCACAACATGTGAAATAAACCCATCCAGTCCTTTGTTTGTGGTCTGCATAAGTCTTACAACACAGAGAAAAATGTTCTGTTTCCTGTCCTTGTGATGTCACAGTGGGATTCTGGTAAAAAAAAAAAATCCCCTTCCCTCTCCTGGTATCTCCACCCCCAGCCTAGAACAAAACTTTTGCGCATGTCGGCCATTTATATTCTCGCTACAGAGGAGTGGTGTCTACGGGGAAAACTCATTGCATTTAAAGAGACACACACACCAAAACGGAGCGTTTTGAGAGAGCTGGTTTATACAGGGTCACAAACCTCCTCTGGTGCTTGATTCATGTTATATTTTGACCAAAGCACAGAACAGATGTTTCATTTAGACCACAGGGGACTGTTTGAAAAGGTGGAGGAGATCATATGTCCTTTTTAATACTGATGGTCACTTTCCACAGCTGCCTCTACCATCAATGTGTGAATGTGTAGGTGTGACCTGCGGTGTAAAAGTGTAACCATCCATTAACAATGAACTCTAACTTAGCCCCCCCCCCCCTCAAACTTTTGACTCTGGGTCTGTTTGGTCATCAGGAGTGGCGTCCTCTCATGATGTGTGTTCAAAAGGATCCAGAATCTTGCTAAACTTGTCAGGCTTGTCTGTCACCGTGTGAAGGTTGTATTCTCCTTCGATGAAGTGTGAGAACTCCATCATCGAGAGTGGTTTCTGTAATTTACATCAACTTATATTAAAACCTCCTGCGGTGTTGCTCCCGGATCACCTGTAGTCCGGGGCTCGGCGCTAAATCCATGAAGAAGTGAGTGAGATCTGAGCTGGGAGATCACGTGTGTGAACATATCTTCATGATTTCATGTAGAAACACGCTGGTTAGGCAAATTCATTCTTCTTATTAAATTTCACAGAGATTACACTCCTGATCTCGTTCGCTTGTGCTACATTTCAATCTTTTTCAGCGGTGGCAGCTTTGAAGTGTGGGGGGAGAGATTTCAAAGTGAGCCAGGTGCGGGGCTAACGGGGTCCTGGCTATAAGCCTGTGACAAAAAAGACACTAAGACGAGCTCCGTCTCTCCTGATCCACAGGGACCGAGAAAGTAGGCCAAGCTCGGTGTCAGACTGCTGCGAGGATCAGGACTGAAGTTGTTGACTTGTAATCAAAGTTCCCCCTTTTCACACTTTGGGATGTCAAGAGCGCGTCAGAGACAGGTTTTTAAAATATTCCTCTCACACACACATGTAGGTCACATTTTTTCAGAAGTGAGGCTTTCCAAGCTGAACACTGCGTCACACGGCGTCATCCAGAAGCATTTTATATTTAAAAAAAGCATCTTTTCTGGAGATGGAGGTTGAACTATTAAACCGTCTAACCCCATCAAACACACAGCCGCAGACACATGAGAGGACTTTGCACAGAAAATCCTACAGGATGGCTAACAAGCATGAGACACTGATATCATAAACTACACACACATGAGTCACTACTGGATATTATGGTGATGCAACTGGACGTCAAATTTCTAATTTTAGGATGCCATGTCTACTTCTTGAATGTTAGAGGAAGGGAATATTTACATGAGCAGATTCTCTTAAAGATGCATTAAAAACACACACACTCGTTCTTTCAGAAGAGCTTTTCTGGTCCATCATACAAGATTCCTACTGGAGGAGACAGAACCTCATCATTTCTGAGTGATTAAGTCAATAAGCAGATCTCACGCTGTTGGTTAATGGACAGCCATTTGACTAATTTGCAATTAGGAAGCTCTTTGTGAGTGTACACACAGTAAGTTCGGCTCCAGCGCGCAGATGACCCTGAGACAGACAAGAGGCACCAAAAAACCCGCCAGGAGACACTGAGGCTCGGTCACGTGTTTGTTTGTCCCCTCGCGGAGCCCTGCCTGACTCCATCGTGAGTTATAATCAGACGGCGAATCACGGGAGCAGCCCACGCTCCCCCGACGCGCGCCATGCGAGCGCACACCCCAGTCCGGCGGTGCTTGGGATTGGGCGGAGGGAGGGAGTGGTGGCTGCGGACGGAGTCACAGGATTGGTAGAGTTCAGCGCCAAACTTGTTGACTCATAACTGAGCTCCATCCTTCACGGCGCGGAGCTGTCCACGGCCACTGGTGCTGAAACTGCACGATTTTGACGCGCTGTTGGAATATTTCCGACTTTTATTTCTCGCATCGAGTGTTTGAAAGTTAAATAATCCCCGTGCTGCACGTCCGGGCGTTTTGTTTTTACGCGTCACTTTGACGGATACTCAAACGCCGTCACCGCTCTGACAAAGAGCGCATCAAGCCTTCCAACTTCTTCTCCGATCTAGCAGAGGACTCCCCGCGTCGCAGCCATGGCTTTCATGGTCAAACACATGGTGGGAGGACAGCTGAAGAACCTGACAGGCGGACTGACGGAGGAGAAACCTGAAGCGGAGAAAACGGACGCGGCGGCGCAGGGGATGACCCAAGAGGAATTCGAGCAATACAAGGAACAGTTAGAGGAGGAAAAGTAAGGCAATGATTGAGCTTCTGTGTTGTAAAGTTGTAAAAGAAAAGCCTACAGTATTTGTTTGGGATGGCAGATTTTTTTAACAGCGCGTTTTTCGTGTGTAAATATCAGCGCGCTCCCAGTGCGCGATTTTACGCATCAGTGAAATAACACGAGCGCTCCTCACACAGCTGCTCCTCTCGCCCTGCAGGGACCTCTGTGTCTCTCCGCTTCAGTAAAGTGTGTAGCTACGATTTTTTTAATTTGGGATTCCTGGAATCGTTCTTCCACGGTAATGTGTTCATGCCCGGAGCGAAATATGTGCCCACTGCTGCGCGTGCGACTGAGGAGCGAGGCAGACCTGGTGGAAAATAAAGTGTGTTCATTAAAACCTTTAATTTAGATGATTTCATTATGGAGAAAAACAACAGAAGGCTTATAGAAAAAGTAGCAGTAAACCATCCTGTGTGATATTTCTTGATATTAATTTATATGTGGGTGTGATCTTTCTTGCATAATGACGTCATCAACAGCCTAAAGAATTAGATTTATTCAGATATTAGATGGTATGGACTCTTTAAAGCTCGATGTTTTTGGTTGGTTGACATTTTAATATCTTTGCAGATGTTGTGTTATCATGTTTGCTTCCATCATCTTCATCTTCATCTTCATCTTTGTTCTTTTAACATACATGTCTCCCTCACTGTGATATTGTGTGATGGTGTTCATCTCCCCCAAGCCACTGGAGGACAATACAAGGTAACGGCAAGGTCATACGACAAAACAAGAGTTCACCCTGCAGACAGAAACTCACTACTGATTAATGTGATGCTCCCTTGGAGCTGGACTCAACAAACCCCATAGAGGAGACGTTCACTGACCTGGTCGCAGAATCGGTTAGCAGAGATTATTAACATGAAGTAAAGACTTCAAATGCAAGTTTTTAGAAAAAGCAGCAGATTTAGATTGTAAGATATCAGGAGCTCTCTTTACTGGAATGTGTGTGTATCATAAAGACAGTTATCCTGCAATGCCTCGTTTCCATGAGCGAGAAAAACACTTGACAAACAATTTGACAACATCTGCAGACACTTTAAGCTCAAGTGGGAAGTGAAGACCTAATTCGGGCAGTGTTAACGCCCATTGCATCCCACTAACGCTCAGGAGGAGACATGTTCAGACGCTCAGCCTGCTCTGCCTTCATAATGTGTGTGACCTTCAGTGGTGCTGAGTTATTAGTCAGAGGCACTAAACATGAGCATAGATCACCAAGAAGGCCTCGCTGCTCACATTAGAGAGGAATCAGGTTGGAGCGGGAGCGGGGGCTGGGTTTCTCTCTCTCTCTCTCTCTCTCTCTCTCTCTGACATGTCACATGGAGACATTTTATCACCCTCAGCACCACAGTGACATCCCTGGTCATCTGATGCCCTTGAGAGGGGAAGACACACAGCTCTGCTCATTGGCTGCAAGTGAGCGCTTCATGCACGGGTCCGTGTGCCATTTGGTGTCTGGACCGCTCATGTTAATTTAAAGTGAGCTCGTGGCTCGCATGGACAGGCCCCCTGAACGCAGCATCTCCAGATACAACGACCTTCCTCTGACACATTGGGTGCAAACACTTTTGCAAAACACGCCCGTGGTCGTCCAGTGTCCCTCTGACTTTAGATTACGCTGCTGATTTGAGCCTTCCAGACGTACAATGCAGCTTTGAAATACATCATGCATGCTGGTTATTTTGTTTTTAAAGCACTGACTGTATTTCACAGACTCCATTAGATGTGGCCTTTCGTTTGTTAAGCAGTAAATCATGTTGTCGAGGCATTTATAGCAAATTTGAACAATTTACGAGGGACTATTATGAACAAGAATGAAGCCCTAAATATTCCAGTGATGTTGGAGTGGAGAGGGCACAGCAGCAGCCTGATGCCCGCCCTCTGCTGGAGGCTGTGCATACTGCAGGCTGGATTGTTTAGAAGATAAGCATGGCAACATGGCTTACAGATACATCTACAGAGACACATTTGTATATTTTTAGAAAATGGACTTGGTGCATCTCTACAGCTCTGAGTGTCAAGAGCAGCTTTTATGTTGTTTTCAAGCCTTGAAAGAGGAAATCTCTCCAGATTAGAGAGGCAAACTACAACACTGCACATCTAAATGGAGGTAAATCCTGGATAAGTGTGACGGGTTGACAGCTATGAAAGGGGGAGCGGTATTGAGTGCAGTTAATAGGTTACCTCTAGTAGTCCACATCTCCAGAGGGGGGAATACATCCCTCTCAGGACTGGCAGGAAGCTGCATCTAAACATAAGCAGGGCATCTCTTCCTGCTTCATCTCCCCCCCTTTGGCAACTCTGCTGCCGCTGCTCCGCCTTCTGCTGGCTCCACACACACACACACACACACACACACACTGTAGTTAGCATGAAGAGGAGGTCATGCTAAGCTCAAAGGCCTCAAAGGTTCAAACTTTACTTTTTAAGGAGAAATCTGACATAACAAACTTTGATTTTCTTTATTTTCAGATAAAAGTTGTGGTTTGTTTTTTAATTTATTTGGGGAATTTCTCTTTTTAAGTGTGATGCATGAATGCCAGCAAGTTGCTAATGCTAGTTAGCTTTGCTGTTTAAGAAAATACATTTCTGAGCAGGCTGTTCAAATTGAGTGGATCTATATTTATGTCACAGACTGTATTAAACATGGACGTAGACTCAGTGATGTCACCTTTTGGTTTCTGAAGAGGTGCTTTGAAGCCAAACTAAGGCGGTCGTCATTTTTTAAATGCTGACTATACCTTACTTTTTGGCAAAGCTAAAACAGACAAAGAGGTGGAGTTGGGACTGACCTTCAAGGTCCAGTCAGTAAGATGTGTAGAGAGTGAGATGATAAAGGTATCTTACTATCTGATCAGACATTAAGGAAACATGCTATGTTGAAGTGCTGGCTTCTCTGACAACAATGCAGCAGCCAGTATGTCCTCCTTCTAACTTTAGATTCTGCTCCTGAATGCTCTGGATTTGTTTGGACCAGAGAAGGTAGGCGCTTTTAAGGCGGCGACCCCCACACACGGCCGTTTAGGACACCCCTCGGTTTACCAGATATGAGAGCAGTTATCAGGTCAACAGGTGTTGCAGTGATGGAAGCGGTCAAGAGAAGTGGTTCAGATAGAAGTGATTGTACCCGACCTAAAAAGCCTCTGCATGTTTCTAATAAGCTCCACGAGCAGAAACGTGCTCAAACTAGGATCAATATTGGAGATGCTTTTGAAAAATGGAGAGAGGTTAGAACACAGAAAGGTTTACAGACCCATGCAGAGCTGGATAAACACTGAAGCTTCAGAGTCCACCACATGGTGACCTGAGTGAGCATCCACTCTAGAGAGGGGGGGGGGGGAAGACAGCTCTCTATGATGTTTAGAATCTGGACCCATTTTAAACACTAGGTGTCAGAGTTACATATTAGTCATTTAAGCCTCTGGGGGAACAGCTACAACATGCCCGCCTTCCAGTCGACTCAGCCAAGCCCCAAATTATGCACATTTATGACAAACTCCTGGGCCAAAATGGAGTGTACCAATAAAAAAAATTAACAAAAAATGTTGGTATCAGGCTGTAAACATGTTTATTCCTGTTATAAAAATGGGCATGTTAGTGTGGGGCCTACTGGGAATTCCTTGGCTTTTCAAGCCAGCCTCATGTGGACACTCAAGGAACTTCAGTCTGTGCACTCCCTCTGCGGCTTCATTTTTCAACACCTGATGATGCAGTTAGATAGATTTATATAATCTGTGACACTGAGACAACTTCTCCGTCTTTCTTGCAGACAAGAGCGAGAAGCCAATTTTGCCCAGAAGAAAGCTGAGAGAGCCACGGTTAGAAGTCACTTCCGGGATAAGTACCGACTACCAAAGGTAAACTGACCCTGTTCTCGTTTTTGTAAACACATGAACGATGATTGCATTTACTCAACAAGATAACTATCTTTGTTAAAAACCACCACAGGCGTGCAGCCACATACTTTTCTATAAAACGCAGTCAGATTTGAACTTGTTGTGTTAACTTTCTTTGTCCTCTTTTTCTCCCGTCCTGGCTGGGTGTGTCTGTGTGGACATGCCTGCATCAGAACGAGCTGGACGAGACCCAGATCCAGCAGGCGGGGGATGACGTCACGTTGCCCACAGAGCTGGCCAAGATGATCGCCGAGGACAACCAGGAGGAGACGCACAAGCAGTCGGTGCTGGGCCAGCTGTCCAACATCCAGAACGTGGACATCGACCAGCTGAAGGACAAAGCGCAGGCCACGCTGGAAGACCTCAAAAAGCAGACGGAGAATTGCAGTCTCATGTGATCGCGCAGAAGTTTAGAGTTTCACTTGTACAAATATTTTTTCAAAAGGCAGAGCTGCTCTGGGGGGTAAAAACATATTCTCATTGCTTAGGAGGAATATCAGACGACTGAGCCGCGTAATAACAGTTTTTGTAGCTGTGCAAAAGTTTAGACAGAAATCATGCACAAAAGAGAGCGAGGCACGAGAAGAGCAAGTCGTACTTACTGGAACAAATAATACGGGCATACCAGATGACCTTCAGATCTCCTAAAAAATCATGAATGTCATTTATATTTGTCAATGAAATTAGCCGCTTAGCTCTCTGAAAGATTTGCTCTCTGGCTCCTCCCACTGAGATTATATTTGCCTTCAGAGCAACTCCTCCTCTCAGAAATAATCCTCCGTCTTTCCTTTGCCTCCCTCCCTCTCTGTACCTCACACACCCGGTGATAACACATATGATTCTGCAGCAGAGGTCTCAGGCGTATGTGTGTGTGTGTGTGTGTGTGTGTGTGTGTGTGTTACCTTGCTCCCCAAACAACGCAGCAGATTATTTCACAGAAAAACGAGTGCACATCTTCAGTGAGATCAGCTGTTTGTTTGAGCCGGAAACACACACGGATGATTCTAGCTCACACTACAGGCTGCACGTGCGACATGTGGATTCACAGTTTTGTGATTTCGGAGTTGGAGGTTGTTTTTTTTTTATTTCTTGTACAAAAGCACAAAAATGAAGAAAGGTGCAATATTAATTAAAAGCAACAAAAAAAAGGCAGATTTTTTGTCATAAGTAGCTTGCTGTTGTCGACCACCTGGTGCCCTGACGAACACATTCTGTGTGCTGCATTTATTCCTAGTTTGAATCTTTTTCCTGAACATATCATTATAAAAAGCCTTTGAGTTCAGCTTTCTCCATACTTCAGCGTGCCTTGGTTTTTCTTCTCTAGATCTCAAACACCCGTAAGCTACTTTTTACAAAGACTCTTCCTCGTATGCGTTTGTTTTGGGCTGAGCGTTTCTTACTTTTTCAGATTGACTAAAAGCAACAACTGATAATGTTGGAGAGCAGGAATAGAGTTAGCTACGTGCAATAAGTGTGCTCCAAAGGTTCACCTAGAATCGACTTAAGCTGCATGAGGAGCAAATCTGCGTTTTTTGGATTGGAGTGGAAACTCTTTCTTTTCCTTAAGGGGAAATCTGGTTTGCAAACTGAAGTGCACACAACCTACACACATTATACAAAATGCACAAAGACACACAACACATATCTCTCCTGGATGTGATAATGATAGACGTGCAGTGAGATATGAGACACACAGTCCAGGAGTCCACAGTGTGTTTGCAATGGAAAGGAAGCGTACATGTTTAAAAACCTGATGGCTGAAGGAACACATGACCTCAGATCTGCACCACGATGTAAAAAAAAAACCTTAAAAGCTGCTCGGATGAGAGAGATGTAAATGCTTTACGAGTTGTATGTTGACAAAACTTTGACTTACGTAAAGAAAAAAAGGCACAAATATGTAATACTGCGTACCTGCGGTGTGAGTAAATCCACATTATGTTGTGTAAGATGTAAATGTATCTGCTGCTTGCACATGCTGTCAAACAGCGGCTCATCTGTTTTCATCAGAAAGTGTTGTCGACCCGCCCACCTAACCATCGGCCTGTCCTCCATCTCATTGATCCCTGCGTCTCAGTGGTGACTGTCTCGTGCTGGTGGATTCGTGTTGCTTAGCTGATGTGATATTTCTAGTGGCGTCTTTGTTTGAAAAAAAAAAAAAAAAAGTAAAAAAGAAGCAGAAGCTCAAACTGTGGCAAAGAAACACACAGCGCAGTCACCGTGGGCTTACTGTGCAAACTCAGTGTTCTGTCCACGTTGTTTTCAAGACATGTATAAAAGCAAAGGGAGTGGAGAGGGGATGTCGTCGGTGTTGTTGTGTGTTGAATCCGTTTGCGCTACATTTGGCCTGTGTGTGATTTTATGTAGCTGTGGTGCCGAGAGTGACGTCAGTTTTCATCTCATATCTGTCCCCTGTCTCTGATCAACGTGATGTTAGCTGCCAAAACACAGCTTGCTTTGAGAACACCGCAAAAACTCAAAACCTACCCAGTCAATCTCTAACATCATAAATATCTTATTAAACCTGGTAGAAGCCACGTTCACCTGGCAGGTTCAGGTAAACATCGTAAATCGAGATATTACAAACACAACGTGAGGCCTGAATTGTGTTTAATACGTAAAAACATAAATGCTAATGCTGCAGGGGCGTGTCCAGACTTTTCTCACCGGGGTGGCCCACCTACAGAGCGCTGACGTTTGCAGGGGTGGCCTGATGCATTTGGGCACACACACATGCAAAATAAATTAAAACATTTAGACTATTTCTTTCTCTCTTTCTTGTGCAAAGTCAGAATTGTAAGCACTTGGAAAATGTCATGCTAACTCTTGCATGCTGTCCAACTTGCAAAGAGCAAAAACAGTAAACTGAAAGAACTTCCACAAGCCCATTGAAAACAGCCAGGATACTAGATTTGTACTTAAGCCCCGCCTCTTATTAGGCAAAATAGCCAATCATAGATTTGGATTTTGGGGGTGGATTTCAAGGGGGGTATTTGTTACCCATCTGGACACGCCCCTGCCAATGCAGCGATTTAAATCTACGTAAAGTATCTTGAATAAAATGTACTTATTTAAATAATTTTAAGACACTCAACTAGTAAAGTTAGCTTCCCCATTGGCAGATATTTGTTTTTATTAGGAGTGTATTAAGGCTTTATTTTCTGCTTTTTATACCTTGATATAAGATGTTTATCTGGATGTGGCAGGAGAATTTAGATAAAGACACTTTCTAAGATTGGAGTTTTTGCAGTGTATTCTTTTTACCTAAATCTTCTTTTGACATGTACGTGTTTGATTTGAGAAGTTTGTGCAGAGAGATCGTTTTTTTTATGATGAGTTGTGATGTCTTTGTTGTGTGTGTGCCAAAAACTACTTGCTGAATGAACACAGAGGCAACGCGCTAAATATTTTTCAGTCCAGTGGTCGTCGTCATGTGATAGGTAAACTGTGTCGTTACAACATTTATTCTAAAGCAGAGGAAGAGTTGCAATAAGTCCTTTTATAATAGAGGTAATAACACGTCTGTCATGCTTTGATCATGAGAGATCGTAAACGGTCGGAATAGAAGCCATAATGTGAAATGTTTGCCATGTGTGAGTGTGTGCAAAAAACTTAATTATTCAATAACTCAATAATAATACTGACAATATTGTTAATAAGCAATTGTATCCTTTTTGTGTTGTCATCCTACAAGTTCTTGAGCTTATTTTTGCCGGAAACGGTTTGCCATGACACCGCTGTCGCTCCTCGTTCTTCAACTGTTTTTGTTGTTTCACAGTCGCTCCATCATTCTGTCTCTGAGGGTACATCGATGATTTTTTCAGTTGTAACCGCAATAAACAGATTTTTAGGAAAATAAACCTCTCGCTGTGTTCTGTGATTTTTTTTTGACACTGTGCAGTTTGAGGCGATTTGAGGCGCAGTCCTGTAACCCGAACACCAGGGGGAGACAAAAACACGCTCACCACTACAGAAGAATGAAAGAGGAAGAAACCCTCTATAAAGACATGTTCCTAATAAAGTATGCTGGTACGTTTAAGCATGATGTGTGGGAAACATCTTCATTCTGCATCAGGCGAGTCTGTAGAGAGCTGTGTGAATAAGAAAGCAAACATAAGAAAATATTTATGAATGGTTGAGCTGCAGGTACCCGGGGCTGTATTCACAAAGCCTCCTGAGTACAAAGAGCCGCTCCTAGTGACAAAGAAGATTCTTAGAATCAGGACATTTTCTAAGAATTTCAACTTACAGTTCAGACTAGATCCTGGTAAAAATGAAAGTTATTCTCAAAGCGTCTCAGCCATTAAGAGAGCTGCTAAGGTGTGGAGGAGTGAGGAGGACTTCAACAGGATGAAGAGTTTCTGAAGCTGAGGACAAAATAGAGAAATGTTCTTCAAACACGACGTGAAGAAGAATCTTTTTGACTCAAAGTCAAACAGACAAAAAAGATTTGTGCAGACATTTCAATCCATCGCTGACTTTTTTCCAATGAAAAAAATATATATTTAGGAGTCTTTATCTATAAATCCCATTTTCTCCAATATTCTTCTCCCTTCTCTTTTTGAAGTCGCAGGACAAAAGTCATTTTTTTCCATGAAGATGATGGAATTCACAAAGTTCCTCAAGACATCTCTGAATTTTTTCAGAGAAAAGTGAGACATGCATGTTGACTTTCTCTCCATCTGGTTACCTCCACAGTTGCATCACATCTCTCATTAAGACCCCCAGCATGTGTACTTTTAAAGTACCTCAGTGTTCATTATCAAACAATGTCTGATTCATTTTTTTTGGAACTAATCACAGCTTCTGAAAAAATGTGTCATACCTAGCAACAGGGTCGACCTCGCCCTTCTCACTAAGGTCAAAGTTTCGGATCTCTTCTGAAAAGCCACAGATCAGTTTGGAGCCTTTTCAGTAGACTGAACCCTTGTAGTCATTCAGTGGACACTTTTTGGGTCCGCCTCATTAGACTGAACATTTCAGCATGGAGTCTAACTTCCTGGTTTTGTGCAGTATGGTTTGGATGCATCCTTTCAGAAAATGAGTCGTAGATTAAATGTTGAATGTCACTTCACGTGCGCCTCCAAATCAAAACAAACAAGGATGAAAAAAAGATGAGGATGGATGCGGTTGGTTTGGGTAAAGCACCTTTCAAATGTTAAAGTCAGAGTTGGTCATTTCCTCCAGATACACTTTATAAGATTCTGGTTGAAGTTGTCTTTAGGTCCTGACAGAAACTAATAACTCATGTTCTCTGAAAAAGGAACAAAGAAAATCCATCATCTGTATCAGTTTGTAAGTCTGTAAAAACTTCCACCAATGTCTGCCACGAGTACCAATCTGATGAACCAATCAGACGCCTCCCTGTCTCCCTGCTCGCTCTCTACCTCTTGTGTGCTCTAGCTCACACTCAAAGAGCGTCACCGATGACTTTATGAGTTTATACTGTGAGTTTACTGACCGCTGAATGAGACATGAGACGACGTAGTTTCTACACAATGTAAGAGATGAGCTGAGGTCCACTTCTGGACCAGTGGCGCTCATGCATGTAAGTGAGGGGGCGTGGCTTATGAGGGAGCACACAGGAGAGGGGGTGCAGACGGAGCACTGAGGGAATGCTACTTTCAAAATCATGCTAGTTTTTGAAAATGACCAACCCTGCCTTTAATTTGTTAAATTGTTTTCATGCAATGTGAAGTTCTGTATTATTTACTGAGCCATCGTGCAGATCACATCTGAGCTGGAGCGTCAACAACATGAGGCGGGCTAATGACGTCACTACCACACTGAATGAATCAGACCAAGTAGGTCGTTGCATGTAATTTTCTAAGTAGGCCGACTTAAAATTGTGAGTTTGCAAGTCTTTGTTTTTGGACTCGTAAAGAATTAAGCTAAGATATTATTGGGGAATAGAAAGGGTGGAAATGTTTTTTAAATATCTGCCTTCTAAGCACCCCTACTGAACAGTAGATCCTAACAGTATACAGCATGGACAAACTGTCAGATTGTTGTCCTCGCTCAGTGTCGCTCTGAGAATGTTCCTGAATAACCTCTAGGGCAAAAATTCTAAATCTATGTATTGAATTTAGATTCAACATTTGGATTTACATTTTAGATTTTAGAGTTACATTTAGACTCATCATTTAGCTTTCAAATTTACTGCTGACGTTAAGATTAAAGATTTAGATTAAAAGAACAGGATTAAATATTTAGGTTTAGATTCAACATTAAGATAAAGATTCAATATATAGATTTAACCTCAGCATCCTTTTCACATATTAACATTTGTTCAGTGATTTACGTCTTTTTTTCTCAGTGTGTAAAATGATTTAAATGTGAAGAAAATGAACTAAATGTTTAAAAAAAATAACCGTTTTTACAATGTGCACCCCATAAGGTCGGACATCCATCTGGTTCTATGGAGCTGGTGCTAAAGTGGCACAGCCCCCCCCCCCCCACACACACACACACACACACACCAGTTAGTTACCATTTGAATGGCAGAGAAGCCTGGCCTATTGGAAGTTTTCGAGTGCGGTGTAAAAAGGGGATGGCTGTAAAATATATTGATGCTGAACCCCCCCCCCCCCCTCTCTCTCTCTCCATTGATAGGCCGCAGTGCGTGGACAATCTGCGGCCCTGCAAAGACACGGGGCCACTGCATGGCCAATCTGACACAATTGGGGTGAAACGGGCCAGAAAACATATTCTCTCCCATTCTCCTCTTTCAATCAGGGCTTACCAAACTGTGCAGAATGAGAGGCATGACAGGGAGAGAGAGAGAGGGAGAGAGAAAGAGCGACAATTAGTGAGAGGTGAAATCCTCTGTGAGCAGGCAGTCATCGCAGAGCCCCCCCCCCCCTTCTCTGTCTGGGGGCTAAGAAGGAACAGATTTGTTGGTCTGCGCTGAAAAATGGAGCAGTGAAGTTGCAGATGTGAGCTTCTTGCAAAGGAATGCGTTTTGCAAGCCCCCCTCCCCATGCATGCCTCCCCCCTTTTTTCACTTTTTGCTACAAGAGAAGCGGGGACCACACAGATCTGATGGGTTTCATGCAAGCTAAATCATAAACATTCTCCTCCAGCCTATCTCGTCCTGTACTGAGAGCTTTTCCTGCTGCAGGCCTGGAAACGGGTCCCACGGCTGACTCCTCAATGACGACCAATCGGTGGACAGGATTGTAAATGAGAGAGAGAGAGAGAGCGAGAGAGAGAGGGGGGAAGGAAAACTTTTCTTTCTTTCTTTTTTTTTCTCTCCACAGAGGGAGGGGTGTTGTGTGTGTGGGGAAATGCTCGGCGGACCGTGAAGCGTAACAGCAAGAAGAGGGGACAAAGACGCACATAGCGGGACAGAAAGCGACAGAAACAAACCTCCAACAACTCGTAGAAAAAAAAAAAAACGAAAACACAGACATTTGTGGATTGAGGGATCAAACATGGTAAAAGCTGGGGAGAGGAGTCTGAGCTTACAATGTCACGACAGATGAGTTCAAGTGTACAAACGGAGTCGTGGACGATAAGTGAGGTTTGGAGTGTGCGTTAACTTTTGGATAGACTCCGCGGCGCGTTTCTGCAGCGGTGGCGTGGAGCTGACTCAGGCTGCACTTTGGAGAATGTTTCCCCACTTTTGAACGGACATGTTTCCCGGATTTACTCACTGCACTGGCTTTACTTCTCCTGTAGCCACGCGTGGAGATTCCCCTGAGTTACATCTCGCTGCAAGGAATTTCCAGGGAAAGGCGACGCTGACGTTGTGGACCACGTTTTTCTTCGACACAGACGCATAAACATGGAATACTTGTGGAGTTAAAATCCAGAAGACTCGATGTGTGAATTGTCCTGTTCCTAGTGTGCTGGTGGAGAAAGTTCGCGTCACTGAGGTAGAACTCCATCCAAGCATGAAATGTTGGTGCAGCGCCCTGGCACTTCTCCCGTGGGTGCTGGTGGCCTTAGATGCCCAGCTGATCTGCTGGCAGGCGCTCCTCCGGTGCCACGAAGAGCCCGAGTGCGACCTCGCGTACAGCCAGTACTTAGCAGCCTGTGAAGGTAACCTCAGAGGCACGAGGAAGCAGTGTCCCAGCCACTGCATCAACGCGCTCATACGGCTGAACCACACGCGCAGCGGGCCGGACCTGGAGACGTGCGACTGCGCGCAGGACCAGGAGTGCCAGAGCGCCAAGCGAGCCGTCGAGCCCTGCCTCCCCCGCAGGCACCCGACCGACGCCGGGGGGATCGGCTGCATGGAGGCCCGGCAGCGCTGCGAGGAGGACAGCAGCTGCCACGCCTCCCTCGCGGCCTACTTGGCATACTGCGGCCAGCTGTTCAACGGCAGGAAGTGCTCCTCCAAGTGCAAAGCCACCATCCAGCAGATGCTCTTCATCCCGAACGGCGTGCTGCTCAACCGCTGTGTTTGCGATGGGGTCGAGAGGCCCTTCTGTGAAGTGGTCAAAGAGAACATGAGCAAACTCTGCGCCATAGGAGACCACACTGTTATTTCAGACCAGCCTGACGCGGATGACATGTACGAGGATGAAGACTATGACCCGAAACACGACAGAGAGGAGGTGTTCACCGACCATTCCTCTGCGTCACAGGGGTCAACCACCTGCATGACCCCTCTCTTTCTATTCTTAGCATGGCTATTACTCTGAGGTGACAGTCATTTAAACATCTGATGGATTTGTAGACAGTTTTCTGTTGAAGCAGGCAGATGAAGTCCAGCTGGAGCTGGCATGGAGTAAGTGACTTTAACGCAGGATTGGCTTTCTGTCTCAGGGCTCAAACTGCTTGATTAGAGAATCTGCAGGCCTCACTGTTATCAAAGTAAAGTCGCAGGGTGACTTAAGAACTGTTCTGACTTCTTTAGTCGCCCCCCCCCCGGTCAAAGTAATCCATCTGTGTGCACATCTCAGACACTCAGGACAAAATCTTCACACATGCCTTAAACAGCTCTGAGAGATCTGCTCACTTGATACAAAGTCGAAGGAAACGAGCTGTTGTCTCAGAAGGAGTGAAATTCTTTGAGGGGTGAGGATGAGAGGAAGTGAGCCACACTGGACTTGTTGCCATCTTGTGTGTGCCTTCAACACGCTCCTGTTTGTTTGGTTTGGTCTCAGTGGTACTTGGTGAGAGTGTGGCCTTATTAAGACGTTAGACAAACATCAGAGCCGTCCAGCCTCTGTTTGCTCTGCTCTCCATTTCAGGGGGGGGGGGGGGGGCTCGGCATTGTTGGAGCTACCACACTTCAAATATTTGCAGGCACAGTCAAAGGACAAGACGAGGGTGTGGGATCAAGTACTGAAAATTAACTGAAGCGCCTCTCCAGCACTCTTTCTGTGGACCCCTCCCCCACATTGTTTTATTGAGCTTTTCCTGAGACAGCCCCCCCCCCCACCCCTACCTCTTCTTCCTCTCTACTGCCAGCCCACTTTCACGCCTTTAAAAGACCCCTGTCTTTTTTTTTTACTGCTTTCACACTCTTCAAGCAACAAGTCAGGAAACGTGTGTTGCTGGTGTGAGGAGGTCAACATAACATGCCTGGAGTTTGTCCACAACACTGAGGGAGGGGGGACACTGCACTGCTTAGTTTGTGACGTACGAGTGAAGCCCATTTTTACCATTTCCAACAACAGCGTGAAACAGAACATCTTGCATTAGTTTTCTTCTGTCATGGATCAAAAAAGTGAATTTTATGGTTATTTAACATTTTCAGACACAACACCAGGTCATACTGTACTGCTGCTTTAAATATTCACTGCAGCAAGAACACCCTGATCAGTGAACAGCAGCGTATTCACTCATTAGCAGTGGTTGAATGTATGTGAATTATCTTGTGTTAAAAGAGCACGAGAGTGTTGCTGAATGATAAGAGGTTACAACCAGGGGCGTGTCCAGAGGGGTGGGCAGGGGCGTCAGGGCCCCCACTTAAAAATCTGATTTTACTCCTCAGGTGTCACCCCAAATTGGCAATTTGCTTGTTAGATGCTAAAATCAGCTATGTGGGTGATGTTGTAAGAAACTGCATTTAAATAAGAGCTGACACTTTCACACGTTAATTACGATGCCATTAAGGTCAAAATGAATGCATTACGTTTTTTTAATCATATTGATCTCATGCTGTTTTGTCCCATTAAACACACCGTAGCTAAATCACCACACTGACAACAGCGTCATGAGTCAAAAGTAAAATCCACCTCGTGACATCAAACATTTCCCTTAGTCACTTTGCTCTTTATCCGTCTTTTTTTTTTTAATGTTGTAAACCTGCAATCTACCGCACATTTCTTATTTTCTTTTTAAAAAAGCATGTTTCTATCTCAACAGGAAGTAAAGTGCCCTTAGCTGAAGACAGTACAGAAATACAAAACAAAAGCATTACATTTAAAAAAAAACAAGTAAAATGGAAATACATATTAAAAATGTGATTAAAACATTTACATTCTTTGACAGCCCGAATTCAAAAGTGCTTTGAACACACGTTTATTTCATAACACCGGTGTTCAGGAGAGAAACGAATCCGTTAGAACCTGCAAGAAAATTCCTGCACACTTTCGCACTATGTTTTTCTTTGATTTTTTTTGCTAAATTTCCCTTTTTACAAGTTAGACTGTTCAGTTTTACAATAAGGCTACCTTTACGTTTGACTTTGGACATTCATCTTTTTTTAAGCCCTTAAAGAATTAAGCTAAGAAGCTTTGTTGTTGCCACTCTGTTGAAGCCGATGCTGAAGTGCAAAATCCTGCAGTTCGCCCGAGTGTCCACTAGAGGCTGGCTGCAGAAGCACAGGAAGTCACATACACAACCATTCTAAAAAAGCAGAAATTAACATGTTTACAGCCTGGTTATAAAAAACAAAACAAATAGGTGTGATTAGCTCATGTCTCGATCGACACACGCTGTACGGGGGGTGAATGTTTTGATGACTCATGATGTTTTTTTGATTTGATGAAGGATAAGAGTTATTCACATTTAGACCTGTTTGAAGGTCCTTGTATTCAAACCAGCGCCGTTTAGCAAAAAGGGAAAGTACAAACAATGTTTTTGAGCTCATGTAATGAAGATGTGTGTCTCTGCCACTTGAAATTGTGTCAAACTAATCTGTTTGTTTTGTGATGAAGTCTTTACGAATGTCGATAAGTGTTAAATTATGAAGCTAGAACAGGAAGAATGTGTATATATTTTATAAGTACAGCATATGCAGTAAAACAAACTGTAACTCACATGCAGCGAATCATTAAACACAAGAATGTAGATCAGATTTTGAGTTTTCAGTTGTTCATCTCATCGTTTCCGATCATAGCAGTAAACACTTCAGAGCAGAGTCTTCTTCGATGTGGGAGGTTTGATTTTTATAATAAAATGTTTATGAGCTGAAGCTGTGTAAGGATGTGATTTGTCCACAGTTTGAGTGTGTCCTTAAAGTCACTGTGATGTCTCCTGGAAGTGTCAGGTGTGAAAGACCGAGACCTACCGAGACCGAGACCTACCCGAGACCAGAGTGCTCCGAGACCGAGACATTTAGGGGTCGAGACCGAGTCAAGACCGAGACATTTAGGGGTCGAGACCGAGTCAAGGCCGAGACATTTAGGGGTCGAGACAGAGTCAAGACCGAGACATTTAGGGGTCGAGACCGAGTCAAGACTGAGACATTTAGGGATCGAGACCGAGTCAAGACCGAGACATTTAGGGATCGAGACCGAGTCAAGACCGAGACATTTAGGGGTCGAGACCGAGTCAAGACCGAGACATTTAGGGGTCGAGACCGAGTCAAGACCGAGTCAAGACCGAGAAATTTAGGGATCGAGACAGAGTCAAGACCGAGACATTTAGGGATCGAGACCGAGACATTTAGGGATCAAGACCGAGTCAAGACCGAGACATTTAGGGGTCGAGACCGAGTCAAGACCGAGAAATTTAGGGATCGAGACAGAGTCAAGACCGAGACATTTAGGGATCGAGACCGAGACATTTAGGGATCAAGACCGAGTCAAGACCGAGACATTTAGGGGTCGAGACCGAGTCAAGACCGAGACATTTAGGCGTCGAGACCGAGTCAAGACCGAGACATTTAGGGGTCGAGACCGAGTCAAGACCAAGACATTTAGGGTCGAGACAAGGAACCTCTGGAAGGGCTTGTGTGACTCGGGCTTTCTGTTTTTTTAATCAAATTGTTTTTCTAAGGACGAGTAGGAAGAGAAATATCTAAACTGGCTCTGCTTCACAAATCCCTCCTCTGTTTCTTGGAGTAAACTGAAGACACCACATTACTATGAATTGTTTCTTAAATAAGACAGATTTCATTCAGAAGTGATCTTTTGAATACTGTCAACTGTTTCCTCTATCGTCGAATCAAAAACAAATGTTTGTTCCCCACAGTATGGAAGCTAAAGTCCTCCATGCAGGCGGTCTGGTTTCAGGGTCCGACCTGTCGCTGCTTTCCCCCGCATCTCATTCCCCACTCTCTCTCTCTCTCTGATTTCCCGCTCTATCCACTGTCCTAACGCTATAACAAAAAGTTTAAAAAGCCCCCCAAAATACATTTTAAAAGCCCCATGAATATTGTCTGTCAGGACGTCCCCGGCCTGCGTGACAACATGAGATCTAACTCGAGTTACAGGTGGCACATTTCAACATCTCCACGCCTGGAGGAGAGCGTCTGCACAGCTTCTCCTGATATTTCTGCGACCACAGGAATCCTCGATCACGTCCAACTGTCTCTTGTGTCATAAAAAAAACATGCAGATAGAGAAACACAAAGAAAGCTAACAGCTAAAGTAAAGCATGACTCCCTCTAGTTTAGTTAGATTGTCTCTGGTCCAATCTGTCTTAACCATTGCCATGCATCTTAAAGTCCCCCGCCCCCACCCAACCTCCCTACTCACCCCGAATCTGGGAGCCAAATCAAAACAAACATGAGCAGAGCAGCCTCGGGGAGTTGAACGGGGGGATACAGAGGCAGCACTGTGCTGGAGCCCATTTTCTAAATTATCTTTATTCGACATTTCTCCGAAACCCTTCCCCCCCCTTCAACCCCCCCACCTGACTCCCCCCCCCCCGCTCTCTCTTCACCACTCCAAAGTGGGAGTGACCAGCCAGAGGATTTAGGAGGCTCTTGTCTCTCCTAGGTACAATGATCCATTCATGATAACCATCGAGCCACAGTGATCGGCTGACCTGCTCTCTGTTTTCAGTTCAGGGGTCTCTGGAGTCAAGGGCACCCGGTTCTCAAGATCTACGACATTGGACCCCCTCATCGTGGGTGACCCTGATGCTGCTTTCACACATACAAAAAAACTCCTTAAAAAATTATTGTGATCTGCATGAGTGAACTCACTTTTACCAAGATTTTTTCCTGCCATCTCCGTTGTAAATTTTCACACTAAGTCAGTGAGCCGATGTCTGAATACAGCGGATAATATTCAGGAAGATTCAGCTCAAAGTGGGTGGTCATGATGACGTTTAAAATCCTGCAGCCAGCATGCGACTAATGCATGTGTGTAGAAAGTTTCCTTTCTGATACTGTGAAAATGTCTACATACATGTTGCATCGATGTTGAGTCAAAAATTGTCATCGTAGCGTTGGAATCTGTTGCTCCGTGTGCTAATTCCACGCCGTTCTTTTCAAATTGTCCGCTTCCTGAGGCCCCGCCCCCCTCCTGTCTGACAGGGACCGTCTCGTGTTGTGAGGTGAATATGTGTGAGCAACTCTGGAAGATTTGAGGGGCAGGCTGCCGTCATATTTTCTAGAAATTTCAGAAGTGCATTTATGAAAATAGACAGCCCTCGTCCCCAAACTTCAATCTGAATGTCGCAGAGGCGTAGTGGGGGGATGAAGTGATCCCCTCTGTACCGTCTGTGGCTACCTCTGAAGACGGTACAGAGGTGAGAGCGCTGTGTGTGTGCATGTCTCACTGTGTGTGTATGTGGAGCTCCAGCTGTGCCGTGCTTCTGCAGCGCTCAAACGCAATCTGAATCTGAATTCACAGACTGGGACAAGAATATTACACCGTCGTGGAATCAAGACATGATGACGGCTGATGACGGCGCTTTTGCAGAAACACAGTCTGGAAAGGGGCTGGTGATGCGGAAAGCAGTCCTGAATATTTCATGTTAAATCTTCACGCACCTCCCATGTTCACTGTTGACATCGGCGTGTAATTACACATATTCACAGTAGAGTATGAAGCCGGTGTCCTTGTGGAAATTTTTACGAGGGGTGCAGGCAGAAAAAAAATCAGGGTAATGTCGGGGTTGGGGACTTGATTCATCCACTGTCCCATTAACAGTATCAACAGAGTGAGAGAGAGAGAGAGAGAATGAGAGAGAGAAAGAGTGAGAGAGAGATGGGGGGGGGGACCTGGAGGGGAAAAGGCAATAAGTAGTGTTGTTGAAGCTGCAGTGAAATGGAGGCCAATTAAGCCACAATGGCGTAAGTTGTGGTTGGGGAAAGGAGACGGACGGACCAGGGGGGAGGGGGGGGTCTCAGTGCAGGGGGGTAAGTAAGGGGAGGGGGTTAAGGTTTCCATTCAGAGCCCTACATTCTGGGTTCCATTAAGGGAGAAATAATCTGGCGCATCTCCCACAAACAAGCAACAAAGCAATCACAGGGGTCAAAATCGCGTCCAAAGTTTTCCTGGCAGCAACGAGCTGAAGTCATGATTAAAGCAGTTTGAGCTGAGCCAACGCCACGGGCACACAGTGAGCCCCCCTCCCCTCCTCCACAGTCACGCTGCTCTCTGTCCTCAGCACACAGGCTGGGAGTGATTTACACCTGGCAGGTGAATGTGATTAACCAGCTGCTGCACGGGGGTGAAAAACAAACATTAGTGTGAGTCGTGGGCGAGTTTGGAAACCGCTCATTAAAAAACAACCACAGCCAAGAAGTTCACAACACTAGACATATTCATCCCCAGTTCACTAATGATTACCCCGTGTTACTGGATTTAGAGGCATGGGTTTACTTATTGCACTTTTTAGGTTAAACGATAACAATTCAGAATCACGATTAATCACAACATTTCAAGAGTAAATCGCAACTTATTTCTGACCTGTTTTAAAGGAAGAATGTGCCATTGTTATATCCAGTAGATGTCGTCTTTGAGCTCCAGCATTAAAACCAAAACAAACTGCTGTTTGGCCACGCCTCCTCCATACTGAAGCCTCCGCTCTCCTCCAGAGACACACCTCCAACCCCCCTCCACTCACGTTTGAACAAAGCATTAATCAAATTGGACAGCGGACAAAATGATCCTTGTCTCAAGCTGCAATCACCTGTGTCCTGCATTGTTGTGTTAGCATGCTAATGTTAGCGCTCTGTAGTTAGCTCGTAGCTTCACATTGTTGTCTTAGCATGCTAATGTTAGCGCTCTTTAGTTAGCTGGTAGCTTCACATTTCATGTAAACTGACACAGAATGAGCGTGATCTAAAAACTCTTACTAACATCCAAATAATCAGTGAGTATGTTCTTCTTCTTCTCTCTAGTTCTTGACTAAAACAGCTTTTATACACAAGGGGAGGAGCCGGCCGTCCCGTCCATGTAAACACGGCTCTGACAACAACACAGCCAGCGGGACTCGAGCTTCTCCCTCATTGTAGACAGTCAGGACTCAGAGAGGATTTACTGGATTTCGGCTATTTATGTGTAAAATGTTGAAGACTCTTCCTTTATTGATTCAAATTAAGAAATCAAATAAAGCCAAGGGGAATGTTTCCAAGGTGAAAAGAAAACTTTTAACTGTCAACTTTTGTACTGAGACCGAGTCAAAATGCTTTCGATTCAGAGACGAGACCTTCAAGAATTGGACTTGAGACCAAGACTAATCTTGAGCACGACAACATTTGGTCTAATCGTGCCAAGATCTAAAAACATAAATGCAATGAAATTGTTACAAGAGACAGGCATAAGCTGTGGGCAAGAGGAGACAAAGAAAGAACATCTAGTTGTCATGAATCCTTTAAGTGATTCACATGTTTTGGAAGTAGCAATAGTTTAAAAAATGTTTAAGCTAAGTTTCTGTAGTTTTCCAGACCTCCACATGCATGTTGTAATCATCAGACGTGCGTACTTTCCCATGCCTGCCGTCTCCTCTCTTCTCCTCTCGTGGACATGAGCCAGCTGTTTCTGCAGCAGAGTGGCCTTCCAGATGACGACGACGATGGCCGGAGACCAGCGAGCGCTCCTCCCACGACGACACACTCGTCTTCCCATAAGGACCTGAGAGGCGAGCGTTTGACAAAAACATCCAGACTGCAGCGTCCTCAGAGGTTACAATTTCTTGATTTTTATTGAATTTCTCAACGAATAAATACACAAAGTATAAAATCACAGCTGTGTAAACATTCAAATCATAAAATAAAAAACAACACAGCAGTGAGGAAAATCTTTCCAGCAGAGTTAATTTATTAAACTTTTCGCCTCTAAATCCTGTTTCAGCTTTTTTTTCTACACGTCTCCAAAGTCTTCAAAGTCAAGCTCACTTTTCTGAATATTGAAGTGCTTAACCTTTTTTTCGGAGATCAAAAACAGCCTGTGTAGACCTACAACAGCGAGGATTATCGGCCTGCCACCGACTGTTAAGCTTTTTTTTCACCATTTCACATTTCACAGAGGCCCAGTTATGAAGGCTTTACACGACACACTGTATCCTTCAAACACGCAGCCGCTGCCAAACCTAAGAAAATGTGAGTCCAGTGTAAATAAGGCAGAGGCCGCACCTCTCCAGTTTTCCCCTCATAGTGGTGGAGAGGGCTTCATCAGCGGGGAGAGCATGGTGAGGCTGTGGTTGACCCACAGTAAAGGCAGTGGGGGAGGGGGGGAATGTGCATGTTTATAATGTACTTATTACTGCAGTCCTAAACTCATGATTCTTAAGGCTCCTAGTTAAAGCTCCTATGTGATTGTGTTTTGCAGGTTTTCACAGTTTTTTAGGGCGTGCTCTGAATACTGCTTGAATGTTTTTTTGGCTGGAACAAATGCAGCAGCCTCGGTTTTACCATGACACTGTGGTATTGTCATACAAGCTGTCCAGTATTTACATATCAATGGTGATTCAGGGAGACGGATTTGAGGCCGAGCATTTGCAACAACACGGCGTCAAAGAGGGCAAGGGAGATCTAACTTTTGCATTCACCAGTTTGACCATTTTATAAATTCAAGCGCTTCTTTTTTTTTTTTTAACCTACCAAACTTTTTTTTTTTCCTTCCAAAAACAATTAACAAAGTGTTCAACCCTGCCAGATAAATCATGGAGTCTCCTGCGTCAGCCTGAAGCAGTCTCCACATTAAACATGGCAGCTGTGAGATCCCACCCAGACAGCGTTCTGCTTCGGTTAGGATGTGGTGCGCTGCGGGGTTTGATTTGGCCCCGGCAGAAACCTGGATCAGGTGGAGTCTCTGGGACCTGAACACTGACTGACAGGTGGTCTGATGGAGCGTGGTGTGGGGAGGGGGGGGGGAATCGGAGCCGGGAAGTTCATCTTACTGCACACAGCAAGCTGAGAAAACAGAAAAGATCGATACATGTTAGGATTCATTTCTTTCACATTACAACCATTTTTTAAAAACTTTTTTACTTAATAATTAGTTAAAGGTGACATATAACAATCTTTTTTAAAAAATAAATCTGGGTAACCTGAGTGTCTACTGACCCACAACATGTGAAATAAACCCATCCAGTCCTTTGTTTGTGGTCTGCATAAGTCTTACAACACAGAGAAAAATGCTCTGTTTCAAATGTGCTCTCCTTGTGATGTCACAGTGGGGTTCTGGTATCTCCACCCACGGACTCCACCCCCAGACTAGAACAAAACTTTAGCGCAGGTCCGCCATTTTTATTCTCTCTACAGAGGAGTGATGTCTACGGGGAAAACTCAGGGGGTGGGGGGTCATTGCATTTAAAGAGACACACACCAGCATTCTGAGCGTTCTGAGAGAACTGGTTTATACAGGGTCACAAACCTCCTCTGGTGCTCCTCTGGTGAGAGAGAGAGAGAGAGAGAGAGAGAGAGAGAGAGAGAGAGAGAGAGAGAGAGAGAGAGAGAGAGAGAGACAGACAGACAGAGACAGACAGAGAGAGAGAGAGAGAGAGTGAGAGAGATAGAGAGAGAGAGAGAGAGAGAGAGAGAGAGCGAGAGAGAGACAGAGAGAGACAGACAGAGAGAGAGAGAGACAGAGAGCGAGAGAGATAGAGACAGAAAGAGAGCGAGAGCGAGAGAGAGAGAGAGAGAGAGAGAGAGCAGCCTGACATCTTAAAGGCTAACTGCCTGTGGCGTGTCTCCGTCTCGTCTAAGGTCAGCAGACAGACTTTGGGCGTTCCTGCGACCCTCTCCAGCTGCTGTTGGACCCGTTCCAGCTCGTACGGCTGACTGCGGCGCGGTTTCATTAAAACAACAACAGCAGCAGCAGAAGAAGTCACGTTCTTCTAGAAACTTGAGTGGCCCTCTCGAGTCACTGCCCCCCCCCCCTCCCGCGTCTTTTCGCCGCAGGAATGTCTTGCAGAGAACAGGATATTGACTCGGCTTTAGGTATCTACTCTCCGTCCAGAGCTGAGCCCAAAGAATGAGGCTGCATATGTATTTATGTTACAGCGAGGGTAATGTATTCAAATGGGGCGCCGGGTAGTTTACTGTACGCCACCCCCCGCCCTCTCCTCCCAACATTTCCTGTCTCTCTTCGGCTGAACGTAATTGTCATTGATTCCTAAAAAAAACACTTCCATTATGATTATATGAAGTAAATAATCGTCGCCTCTGTAAGCTTTTTTATTAATTTTTTTTATTGTTAAAAGGCGACCTCTCTGCAAAAGTCCGCAAAAGTCTTGCTTTCACAAGGTCGGCTTTACAAGAGGGCAGAGGACAGAGCGGCCCCGGGGCGGCACTGAAATGAAATCAGAGAGCCAGACCAGACGGTCCTGCAGGGTGGCCGGCACAGCAAGAGCACGGCTCATGTTTTACAAGTAGGAAGGAAAAAAAAGACATTTCATTACAATTTTCAGTCTTCATTTCACCCTCATCTGCTTCAAACCTGCATTGAGGTGTTCATCAGTGAGGCTGCAAGGATCCTGAAAGCATGCTGTTATTTTAGAGATCGGGCAGTGGATAGAGACGGAAACAGAGATATTGAGGTAACCCTGAAGTAAGTATTTGAGCGCCATGGGGTCTAACGTCTAAAAGTCAACGAGGATTTTGAATGTGTTTGTGGTTAGACTCCTGAAATAAGGTCTGTGGTTAACACAAGCTGAAGAGATGTTGGTGTTTTGTTAGAGCACATAAACTACGTTAGGTAATACCTCCACTTGTGAAGTTTGAAGTTTTTACTCGTCTTTAAAAAGGCGGTTGCTAACAAGCGGCTAAATGTGACTACAGCGGTTGTCGGGGACATTAAAGGTCATCACGCCGGACACAGAGGGCGGGAACTCTCTCACTAGTCGGAGATGTCTCCTGTAGGTTTAATCTTTAGGTTCAGGTGAATATTATGTTAGTAAACTATTTATTAAACTACGTGGATTAGTTTATCGGAGATCGTCTGAAGCATAACGCTAGTGACGTCACAATCATCCTACGTGGTGTCGTTAGCTTGTAGCGTAACGTTAGCTTTTTACTTCTGTCGGCCTCATTAACGCTTCAAACATCAACATGGTTAGACCCCCATGGCGATGCTACTTCCGGGTTGGCCTACAAAAATACGTCATATGGTTTGTTCTCTATAGCCTCTGTACATGGCGCGTGCACACTAACCATTAGGCCACCGGCGCTCCCTGAAAGCACACTCTCTTGAGCAGAAAAGCATTTTTTTTTACAACACAGAAGGGAAACTCACAGCTTTTGACGGAGTCTGCAAGAGGCTCTCGATCCAGAGACGCGTCCCTTTGAGTCTCTCGCATCTGAAAAATAAACACAGACCCTGTCAGCGACCACAACTCGTACGGAACAAAAGGAAAATGTGGACAGTACAGGTATGAGGACTTGGATGTCGAAAGGGGTTTTCAAAGAAGCTTATCTTATATTTATAATTAACTTCTGTGTTCTCGTCTGTCAGGTAAATGTTTGGAGGAATGCGTGCGTACCTTGATGTGCTTTTTGAGGTATTCGGCTCTGGACATGAGGCTTTGAATCTAGAAAAAAAGATCAAAGATTAGAATCCAATGTGGTCATAATTTGAAACGCAATAACTTGATCACACTTTCATATATTTCTCTTTTCCTCTAGGTGTCATGGTTTAGTTTTTCAGCTATTTTCACAGTAATTTGCTTGTATATTTAGTATAGTTTAGTATATTTCTTTATTTAAACGTGTAACCCTTTTTGCTAAGCCACGGTTAGCTTATGCTAGCATGCTACCATTACAAAAAATGTGATATTCTCAGGTAGCTTGAGTACTAGCTGCAAGCAGAAAACGTACACGCTAACCCTGCAGTGGGCGTGCTCTTCTGGTGGCGATGAGTTCAGGAGGAGGGGCCCAGTTTGAACGTTGTGTTTACGAGCTGCAACGAAAAATGCTACTAACGCTACTCTAAAGCCACGTTTGTAGCATGAAGGGAAATGTTGATCGAGCACTTGAGTCGAGTAATAAATGACCTGCATGATGTACAGACATGAATGGTTCCCAGTGAACAACATTTATTGAAGCGCCACCAGCAGGTCGACCATTTTAGGATTAGCGCTTTGTGTCCAGAACTATGTGACAGTTATTACATGGACGCATGCTATTATGCTAAGCTAATCTTAGCATCCAGAGCTCAAAGCATCACTGTGCCTAAATACCAAGAAGCAACCTCTGGTGCTGAAAAATGAAGTTGACGCAGAAGTGCAAAATCCTGCAGTTCCTCGAGTGTCCACTAGAGGCTGAGTGCAGAAGCACAGGAAGTCACATACACACCCATTCTAAAAAGCAGAAATTAACATGTTCACAGCCTGGTTCACAAAGAAGATACAGGTCTAATTAACTCATGTGTGGATCGGCACTGTACGGGTTACACATCTGTTTTGATTTTAAGAACGATACGTGTTATCCATAGTTAGGCATGTAGCTGACATGATCGACAGGCGGGCACGATGTAACGGTTTGTCAAGAGGCTTAAAACCCGCCTCAGCTCCAGCTCTCAGCCTGTCGTCAGGTTGACTGAAAGTTAGGGTGAGAGCATTTCCAGCATGGAGACCGCCATCAACAGGCTCCCAGAGCGCCATGCAGGAACCAATGCCTGCAGCACCCCATCTTCATCCACTATTATTAAGCGTCTGTGGTAAATTCAGCTAAATCTCATCTTGTAATAATCTTAAATAAAACTTCACTTGTATGAGGTTTTAATGAGTCCAATTAGTTTGAGGTTGAATACAAAGAAAGATAGTTTAAACAAAGTAACTCATACACAGAACCCAGAACCTAAACACTCAGCTTGATGAAATATCTCTTTCAGACCCTCCGGAGTGAAGACGAGTCCTTAACGACTGATCCTATAAAAACACTCGCTCACCAGACGGGAGGAAGGATAAACTGGAATCAGGGTAACCTTTAGATGTGTGGGAGAAACAAACGCTTTGGAAAAATCAGATGAAAGCGATCAGCTGTGCACTTCTTCTTCCTCTTTGTGTTGTTTATGACAACACTTCAGATGGTGTGCATGTGCTGCTTGCTAACTGCTGTCATCGTTTGCTTTAAGGCGCTCTTTGCTCTGATGACCGTTACAGTTCTCGGCTGCTCCTCATACTTTATTAAAGGCTTTATATGCGATTTTTTGATCCAGCAGATGTCGCCCTTGAGCACCAGCATGAAACCAAAACAACTGGCGCTGCATTGTTGTGTTAGCATGCTAATGCTAGCGATCTTTATTATGCTGGTATCTTCACACTGCATGTAAATTTACCTGAAATGAGCGTGATCTAGAAACACAGTTAAGCAGTGAGTACAGTATGTTATTCTTCTTTTCTCTAGTCCCTCAATTAAACAACTTTTATACACGAGGGGAGGAGTCAGCCGGCCGTCCCGACGATGTAAACAAACTGAAGATAGGACTCTGAAAAAATCACTCGGGTGTTACACCCATTGTAGACAGTCATGACTCACAAGAGTTATTTTCAGAGGATAAACTTGATTTCTACATTTAAGTGTGAAAAATCACATAGAAAGCCTTTAAAGCCAATTTCATAAACGCACTCCAGATAACTCGGCTCACCCCAACATCTCGCAGAAACGTAAGTACGGGGGCTGGCAGGAAAACGTCAGGGTGAAAAATGTGTCGTTGACCCACAAGTTTTGGTAAACTTCAGGAGTTTTGTGTCCCATGTTTGTAGCAGTATTAATCAACAACTCGTGGTTATTACTTCATCAACATCTGAGGGTGCGTAATCACAGGAGATCTAAAGTGATGACTTCCATTCATGCTTTTTCAAACAGCGATCTGTTGGGAGTTCATTATTCTGACCACAGCACTTTAATCACAATCCCTTTAATCACCAAAAGGATCAAATCCACATGTGTGAGGATGCTTCAGGACACACTGAGAACTTCCAGTTTAAAAGGTACAGACTGCCGCCGATTTCCACATACTGGCGCGCTTCCTGCTCCACTGGACAGCCATGAGCAGCTGTTCACACATCACAGGAGAACTACAAGATCACGTGGGATAAAGAGAAAAAGGTGCAAACATGTTGCTTTGTCTCGAGGATGATTTGTTCTTCATTCGTTTCCTGTTTTGACGTCATGTTGATGAAGTGATGGAAAATACGATCAGGAGTCCGTATATTGTGTTTTAATTTGAAATTGACTGGATGCACTGTGCGTTTCCTTGTCCGACTTCCTGTCCGGGTCGTTTCATGAAGTCCAACTAGACGCGTGCTTGCAGTGAGCTCCATCGATAATAGACTCAGAGCAGAGTGTAGTGGAGCTGCTGTACCGCGGCGCTTGCTGTGGAAACAGGAGCATCGACTAGAGTGTCAGCAAACATCGGAGGCGAAGCACACTGAGTATGTGTACATTTTTAGTCAGGGTTTGTAATCGTACAAGGATTTCAAACTTCGAAACGGTTCCAGTAAAAATCAAATGATATCGATACAGGAAATAAAAAAATGTATACCAGGTCATTTCTTGGTTTAAACAACCAAAAGCTGCATGCAAACTGCTGCACACCGTCTACAAATACGTTAAACGCTGCCAATATAGCGTTGCGATTTCAGACAGCGCTCTCTCGTCGGCGTGCTTTTGGTTCAAAATACGGCTGAAGATTTTAACTTTTTTTTTTTTTTTTTTTTTTTTTGATACCATCGGTCATCAATGGATATTTGATCGTTTTAAAACTGGTGGTATCATATCCTGACATCATGTCCCGTCTCTACATCAACACACACACGGGCGAGATAAAGGCGGTGGTTCAACAACGAGGGGGACAGGAAATGGAGCTGCAGCTCTGGTAGGCTTAAAGTGTGCAACGCAGCAGATATGAATACACATGGAGGCCAGTCATGGAAGCATATGTTCATAGGCTCTTTTAGGTTCTCACATACACACATGCTTTAGATTGATCCCCCCGCCCACGCCCCCCGCCCCTCTAATGCTGTGTTAGATTATTACACCCGCATCTGAATTTACTTAAGACAAGCTCCATAAAACTTCAAATAGGGAGGTCTATGAGGCCCACTCGAGCCTCCGACTGCCTTCAGGGATTTGTCAGTGAAATATTGTCTGTGTGTTGTCGGGGCTGAACGATGCACACAAAAACAAACGGGGGGGCATTAATGGCCGACATGCATGAGTCCTTTGCTTAGTTGGGTTGGTATCATGGAGGGAATTGTGGCTGAAAGTTTTAGCCAGCACATTTATTGGACCATCAAAATGTGAGACTTGTTAGAGTATGTTTGGGTTTGATATGTTGCTGAACACATCCGTCTGTTGATCAATCTATTTTTAAATTTATGTCAGAGTATTCAAGTTTTTAGAAAGAGATGCAACAGACTGAATGTCATACTGATGCTTTTTACACCTGCACAGAGCTCCTGAACACGTGCAGAAGTTTTCATGGTGAGCTGAAAGTTTGAATCCAAACAGTCAAATTTTTAACCCAGGATTGTTTTCAGTGCCTGAAGTCTGGAGGGGGCTTGAGTGAGACCCACTCGACTTCCCGTCGAGTGAGTCAGAGGAGGTGATGACACGACTGTCTGCACGAGGACGCTACGATCTCCGAGCACGGAATGAAACTAGAAATGCACCGATCAATTTTTTTTCAGTTCCTATTCCGATACATGTACAGATACTGATTCAGATATTTGTATATCATAACTAATAGTGTTGTTGTTGTTGGTCGTATGTGTAAGGCTGTAGTGCCTTTAGTTGAGCTAATCAGACCTGTATTTTTTGTGAAGCAGGCTGTAAACATGTTAGTCTATGCTTTATAGAATGGGTGTGTATGTGACTTCCTGTGCTTCTGCAGCCAGCCTCTAGTGGACACTTGAGGAACTGCAGAATTTTGCACTTCTGCATCGGCTTCATTTTTCAACATCAGAAGTTGCAGCTTGGTATTGAGGCACAACTGTATTGTTCTGGCTTCACATACAAACAGGAAGCAGCAACAACAGATAATCATTAAGAAGGAGCTGTTCCATCTCGTCTGAACGTCGTCATGGAGACACTTCTTTACAGTTCAGTCTGAGTGTCTTCAAAGTGAGACTGTGCGAGCTGAGAATGTTTAAATCGCCCGACCATCGTTTCTTGCTCAGTGACGTGGATCAGTCCGATATCCGATACGTGAATTACTTCAATATCGGTCGGATGAATGAACAGAACATTTTTCTCTGTGTTGTAAGACTTATGCAGACCACAAACAAAGGACTGGATGGGTTTATTTCACATTTTGTGGGGCGGTAGACACTCAGGTTACACAAATCTATGTTCAAAAACACTGTAGAGGTGGATTTTTCAGAATATATCCCCTTTAAGATTTGGCTGATAATTCTCTGACTTATACAAATATTCATCCTGAGGTTCACTGTCGCTTTAAGTATCCAATTATAAAGCAGGCAGTGATCTGTGTGTGTGTGTGTGTGTGTGTGTGTGTGTGTGTAACAGTAATAAAGATGATGGATTACATTATTTGGCTTCTATAAGAACAAACATGTACATGTGACCGCTGGATAAAAGGCTGAGGCGACGTGATGAAGCATCCGCTGCGTTCAGTGATCAGCCGAGGGGTCCTTAACAGGTAGACGGATAGTTCACTTAACGAGAAGCCCCCTCCTCACCCCACTCACCTCGCTGTGGAGCAGCTCTCTCCTGCGGCCCTGCGGCTCAGCTGGCTCGACATGAGGAGAGAAAAACACAAAAAAAGGACACAGAGAGAGAGAGAGACAAAATAATGAGGAGAGGAAGGGAGGAGAGGAGTCCACTCAGTAATCACTGTGTTTGTTCAGGAAGAGGTCAAGCTACAAGATTGGGTTTCGCTAGCGTGCAGACTGGAGTCTCAAGGGTGGAAATGGTTCTAATGTAGGCCAGTGTGTTCACAGTCCGGAGGGGGAGAGCGACAGAGAGAGAGAGGGAGAGAGAGAGAGAGAGAGAGAGAGAGAGAGAGAGAGAGAGAGCGAGAGAGAGAGAGAGAGCGAGGAGAAGGAGAGCACGTTGGGAAGCTGTGCAACAAAGCGCTCTTAGCTAAACAAAAGGACCAATGTTTTCTCCCCACAGCCCCCCCCCCCCGGTGGTTTTACTGTGCCCACACAACGTGGCTGCCTGACACCAGAGAGAGAGAGAGAGAGAGAGAGAGAGAGAGAGAGAGAGAGAGAGAGAGAGAGAGAGAGAGAGAGAGAGAGAGAGAGTACCAGTACATCATGTTGATCAAAGGTGGCAGAGGTTCATGCATTTCTCACTCATAACAACACAGATGTTTAGATCGATAAAAGAAAGACGGGTAAAAGTAGAAGTAATGATTCAACTTTCTGACTGATGTAAGGAAGGAAAAAAAAAACCTCTGAAGGACGTTTAAGCTGACGAAGCCTCGAGCAATATTTGTGAGATTATCCATCTGAAATGATCCGCACTTTGAGTCAAATGAAAACCTGAAATTAACAAAATATGTATTCAAGATATTAACATATTAACTGTGCTGTAATGTTTAAATAAATGGTTTCTTGCCGCTTTTTTGCGGTGTTGTCTGATTGTTGTTCAACCCTGTCGGTCACTGATGTCACACTGAGGCCCCGTGTCCATCTAGCATTTTTTTAACCAAGGAGAAAAGCGCTAGCTTTAACGCTTGCATGAAGCGTGTGTGCGCTGAGAAGAAAAGCGTCTCTATGACAACGGCCTGTTGACAACGGCCGCTGTTATTACGGCAGCAAAGAGGACGTGGGTACATGACACGATCTGTAGGGGGAATATCAAACATTTGGAAAAGAGCGGCGGTGACATCTACAGCGCCTTTCTGAAAAGTTAAAAGATTTTCAACTCGAGCGGACGCACAAAGAAGGCAGAGCGCTAGGAAAAAGACGCCGCTTTCAACTGCAAACGCTCTCTAATCATTGAAAACAATTGAAAAAAAGAAATGCTCAGAATACAAGTGGCCTAACTGGACTCCTCTGTCTTTCTTTTGGTGGTTTCACACAAACACAAAACTCATGAAAAGTCCCAGAAAGTTTCAGAGTGAGCTGCAGGTGAGGACGTTTCCAAATTTCCAAACTAAGAAAGCAGCGGTGATAACGTTTATATTATGGGGCCGGAGCAGGACTGGGGCCTTCATCGTGCATGTAATGAATTACGTCCGCCATCATGGATTTTTATAGCTTCCTTTTTTTTTCACATATTCACTTTCAGGAGGACTGCTCCAGATATTCTCCTGATCTGGTTGTTCGCATATGAACCTATCCCTGTCAGACAGGAAGGGGGGGGGGTCTCCTAAGGAAAGACATGACGTTAAAAAGAAAACATAGAAATTGCAGATGAAGCGGCCGAGTCCTCTATATGACTCTATAATGAGAATATGTGTCTTTGTATCAATGCTACGTGTAGTTGAAGAGAATCTCAAAGTGAACTAAAGAGAGGAGAAGAACATCCTGGAGAACAGGAAACATGCAGCAGCAGGTTGATTAGAGCACGGAGATGGTAGAGGTGGCGTGCAGACAGTCTATGGTCGTGCAGCAATCAAAGGGAATAAAGGTCACCACCCCCTCCCACTGGCCCCTCCCACTGGCCCTCCCACTGGCTCCAGGTGAATTCTCCTGATTATATCCTGCTGCGTTCTCACATCAGCTCACTCTGACTTTCTGCAGAATCAATAGTTATAAATCGAGATTTTCTGAAGTTTTGTGCAGGTGTGAACAAGGCCCCCCCCCCCCTTCATTCAACAGGGAAACTTCTGACTGTGAGGGCGACGTATAAATAAGCGACTCAGGAAGATTTCAAAGATTTGAAATGTGCACGAGGAAGTGTGTGAAAAATAATTTTATCAATTTATTGTCACGTCTAAAATCTGTCTTGATGTTGGACAAAAAATACCAAAATATGCAAAATAGAAATGATTCCTCTTGGATGGATTAAAGCTGGTTTAAGAAACGTGTTTTTAAAACTGCATGGAGAAGAAGGTACACATATTCTGAGGTCGTGTCGGGGGGGGGGGGGGGGGGGGGTAAAAGTGAAAAGTTGTCCGTTTCTTTCGCTTCACTCTGTGACGACTTTCAAACCGTCAACCCAACAAATCAGAAAATCATCATCGGAGCTTTAACCTTTAAACTGGTTCAACACATAACCATCAGCAGCTGGAGATTGAAGCTCTTGTTTATAAGAGAGATAATAGTTTTTATTTGTTTCCAGTGTGCAATAACACAAACAAATAAAGCGAGCTGTCTGAATAGGAAACAGATGTCAGGGCTCTCGTACCACACACAGGGCGCTGGCACCGGGTCTGATCCCCGACTCAAAGCCACATCTGGATCACTCCGTCCCACCTCCTTCCATTAGGGCCGATCCTCCAGATGAGCTCACGAGCCGGGGGACTAATGGACGCCAGGCGGCAGAGAGCGTCGCCGCTAGAGTCTCTTCTGCTGCTCGTCCCTACGTCTGTCTCTCTCTCTCCCTCTCTCTCTCTCAAGGCCGAAAGCGTCGCTCTCTAAGTTTGTCTTTCACTCTTTCTAAATCACTTCCTCCCACTTATTTTCAAATCTCTTTAAGGCTCTCTGAGTTCAGTTCAGTCCCCTCTTAACGTGTCTCTACATCTTTTATCTCTCTCTCTCTCTCTCTCTATCGTGTCGTTTTCTTTGTCGAGCTACTTCCCGCCCTGTGTCAGATATTCATTATTCATTCAGAGTTACAGGTTCATACAGAAACTCTTCTCCTCTCTGAGCCACTCGTTGGACGTTTGTGAAGTCCAAAATGATGTTCCTCTCAGGCTTCTCCTCTTTTTTCTTTTTAAAGATTTATTTTTGGCTTTTGTGTCTTTAATGGAGAGACAGGACAGTGGATAGAGTCGTAAATCAGAGAGAGAGAGAGAGAGAGAGAGAGAGAGAGAGAGAGGGGAATGACATGCAGGAAACTGGATTTGAACCTGAGCCCCCTGCTTGGAGGACCACAGCCTCCATACATGGGGCGCACGCACTAACAACTGCGCCCCAGTCCCTTGTCTTTTTGAGTCCGTCTGTCGTGTGAACAGAACATGCTTCTTGATCAAGTAAAGCCATGCATGTGTTGTATTATGACGTTATGAACAGAGGTAACCGTGTTCAGGCCCGGTTTGTCCTGGAGCAGTGTGAGTGCAGGCCAGCAGGGGGAATGGAGGGCAAGGGGGGCGATGTGCTGCATTACAATGCGGAGCAACCGAGCCTACTATGAGTGCGCCCCAAGAGCATCTTGAAGGTAACATGTCTGATAATGGTTGTTACATAATATGTGCTGAATCTCACATCAGGGGACAAACTTAGAGGAACGAGAGTCTGTTTGAAATAAAGCTGCCAGAAACAGGTTTTTCTTAAACATCGTGTTCCATCGCGTCACATGAAGGACTTGTGTTCTCCGTCTCTGCCTCGGCTCAACGTGCTGTGGTGCAGCGGTGGTGACGTATTGACGTTACAATCAGGAACAGGGAAAGGAACAGCGCCACCACCAGGGGCTCTCTATCAAAACAATGAATCAAATCTGACCTGAAGCGCCGCATGTCATTCCCTACACTCTCTCTCTCTCTCCCCGATTTCTCTCTCTATCCAACGTCCCATCTCTAAACTAAAGGCCCAAAATTACATATTTTAAATATTTCCCCCAGTTTGATTCACAGATTCTCAGACCTTTGAGTGTCTCTTCAACATTAAAGGGGGAACCAGCGGTAAGGTGAAAAGCAATTCTGTGTGTGAATAAAGAGGTTTGTTTACCTGCGAGCGCCAGCAGAAGCTCTCCTAAGCACTGTTGGTAAACATCCAGGGCCTCCTGATCGTCCGCTCCACTCTCCTCCTTTAAAGCAAGTTAGAGAATTACATTAAACATTTCTGTACGTCCAATAATGAAGAAACATGAACACGTATATTAAAGCTGTTTTACTCTGCTCGCACTGAAGGACCCTTTAAATCTGTGATTGTTCAAGTCATGTAAAAACACACACATATCCACTTTTAAGATTCTGGTTGAAGTTGTCTTTAGGTCCTGACAGAAACTAATAACTCATGTTCTCTGAAAAAGGAACAAAGAAAATCCATCATCTGTATCAGTTTGTTAGCCTGTAAAAACTTTGACCAATGTCTGCCACGAGGTACCAATCTGATGAACCAATCAGACGCCTCCTTGTCTCCCTGCTCGCTCTCTACCTCTTGACGCTCTAGCTCACACTCAAAGTTCGTCACCGATGACTTTAGGAGTTTATACTGAGAGTTTACTGACCGCTGAATGAGACATGAGACGACGGAGTTTCTACACAATGTAAGAGATGAGCTGAGGTCCACTTCTGGAGGGACGGCGCTCGTGCATGTAAGTGAGGGGGCGTGGCTTTAGAGGGAGTATAAAGGGAAGGGGGTGCAGACGGAGCACTGAGGGAATGCTACTTTCAAAATCATGCTAGTTTTTGAAAATGACCAACCCTGCCTTAAACAGAGGTGTTTTGGAGAGCGAGCTGTGAAAGGGGGTTCAGTTTGTACCCTGCTTGTTTGTTTTCTTGGACTCTCGTGTTCCTTCTCCCTCACTCTGCCTCTGTGTGTGTGTGTGTGTGTGTGTGTGTGTGTCTCTGAATGTGGTGGCATCATTTGTCCTAACCTTAGCGATGGCAGTGAAGGCCATCTCCAGAGCAGCCAGCAGCCGGGGTTGGTCTCGAGACATTTCTATAAAAAGAAAAACACTTCTTTAACACAGACTGCGAGTCTTATTGCACCATTAATGCATCACTCTGGAAAACATGCAACATCAGTCTCCTATACAAACGAAACACTCCTATATCCTGGACTTTGAGATTCTCAGGATTTCATAATATTTATTTAAAGGCAGCGGGGTGATGGAGGAAAAAGTTCCCTGAAGCAAAACACCAAACCCATTAAGACACCCAAACCTGACCTCTGACCTCTGGCCGGGGGAAGAGACAATTGAGACGCAGGAAAACGGATTAAACATACACAGAAGTTCTCCATTTCTTTAGATGTATGTTGATACAGGATTATACTTCTGATTAGGGATGGGGGTCATGTGCTTGGTATTTTTCATTTTTATTGGTATTGATACCATCATCGAGACTCCTGAGCGATGAAGGTCGATACATTTCTTTTCTCTTTTGGTGGAAAGATGAGACGAAGAATAACAGGCGACAGACTCCGCAGAGAAAGAAACGTTTCTCATTTAAACAAATTTGTCCTTTTACTGAGCCGACTCTGAACACATCATGTAAACTTTCATCCACTAACTAGCTTTTATTCGGAAAATTTCAACAAAGATTTCAGCCATAAACTGTAAATATGAATATTTAAAGCCTGAGTGGCGTCACCCGTCTGTTCCTGCAGGGGGCGCTGGAGTCCCATCGATGGCGGTCTCTATGCTGGAAATGCTGTCTCAGTCTAACTTTCAGTCAACCTAACGACAGGCTGAGAGCTGGAGCTGAGGCGGGTTTTAAACCTCCTGACAAACCGTTACACCGCGCCCACCTGTCAATCAGGTCAGCTACACGCCTTATTGTGAATAACTCTTATCCTTCATCAAATCAAAACTGATGAGTCATCAAAACATTCACCCCCCGTACAGTGTGTGTCCATCGAGACATGAGCTAATCACACCTATTTGGTTTTTTGAACCAGGCTGTAAACATATTCATTTCTGCTTTTTCTGAATGGGTGTGTATGTGACTTCATGTGCTTCTGCAGCCAGCCTCTAGTGGACACTGGAGGAACGGCAGGATTTTGCACTTCCACCACCGGAGGTTGCCGCTTGATTTCAACTGGATTACTATTTATTTTCTGGTGAGACACTTAACCCTGAATTGCTCCCGCTGCTTCCTCAGCGGCGCGTGAATGGACTAGTTGATACTGATGGAGACTTTACAAAGCAGCCTCTGCCATCAGAGTGTGAATGAGACTCGAAGTATCAGTAAGCTCAAAATTTGTTGATTATCGGGTCCTGAATGGAATTGGATTTTGATCCCCATCCCTCATTAGGTTCGATTAAAAACACTGAAATCAAGTGTTTGAACATTCAACTCTGACTCCTTCTCATGCAGCTCCTTCTCACACGATGCTAAAGCCGACATACAGGCCGCTCTGCCCCCCGCAACCAAGCAGTGTTCATTACCTCGCAGGACATCTCTGGAGGTCCGCGCCTCCTCAAAGCTCAGTCTGTTGTCGGAGGCCACCAGGGCTTTCAGCTCCTCGGCTCTGGACGCGTACTGGCTGACCTGCGGGGGGAGTCCTCTTACATTGACTCAACTTAATCATGTCAACCGTACCATATGCTCTACATCCTCTCCATATGGTATTAATAGAGGAGAATTCATTCCCAGTGAAAGCCACTGGAGTGTAATAATGGGAGGGGGGAGGAGACAGACTGAAAAAAAGGAAAGGAATCCAAATGTGAAGGCGGGGAGCGCATTAAGGCTTACCTTCTGCCTGAGGGCATCTTTACGTTGTCGGTCCGTCTCGTCTGTGGAGCGAGGAGAGGAGACAAGTTTTGATTTTGGTGGTTTTTCATAGAGGAAGAAAGGCGGTGCATCGTTGGGCGACTAATAATAATAAAAATTATAACTTTATTTCTATAGCACCTTTTAAAAACACAGGTTTAAAAAGTGCTTTGACAAACAGCAAAAACAAGAACAAACTAAAGCAAACACAGAAGAACATAAACAACAACAAGAACATAACAAATGTAAAATACTAAAAAAAATTAAATAAAGTTCAACAGAAAAGAAAAGAACCCAAAGTGCACGATACCCAACAGACATATAGAACCAGACCATCACAAGAACCATCATAAGAACCATCATAAGAACCATCACAAGAACCATCATAAGAACCATCATAAGAACCATCATAAGAACCATCATAAGAACCATCACAAGAACCATCATAAGAACCATCACAAGAACCATCATAAGAACCATCACAAGAACCATCATAAGAACCATCACAAGAACCATCACAAGAACCATCACAAGAACCATCATAAGAACCATCACAAGAACCATCACAAGAACCATCACAAGAACCATCACAAGAACCATCACAAGAACCATCATAAGAACCATTATAAGAACCATCACAAGAACCATCATAAGAACCATCACAAGAACCATCACAAGAACCATTATAAGAACCATCACAAGAACCATCAGAAGAACCATCACAAGAACCATCATAAGAACCATTATAAGAACCATCAGAAGAACCATCACAAGAACCATCATAAGAACCATTATAAGAACCCAACAACACGAGCTGAGACCAAGAGGACCAAAGATTTAAAAAGATGTAAGAAACTAAAAGAGCTCAAAGCAAATCAAAAGAGAACAGCAATAAGAAGGTAAGAGCAGGAAAAGAAATAGAAAGTGAATAAATGATCAAAACAGAAAAAAACAATAATATTAATAATAATAAAAAGTATATGTAAATATAAAACATAAATAGACAAAGTAAGTAAGATAAGAAATTACCAAGTTAAAAGATAAGAGGAGTTAAGATACGAGATACGAGCATAAATAAAAGGACAGTAAGCAGATAAAAATAGTAAAACCAGTAAGTAAAACCAGTAAAGACTGAAGCCACAGAGGGGATGTGAGTGTGGTCGTTTGCTCTTACAGTGAACAGCGGGGACAAAGTGCTCGAGGGCACTGCAGTACAGAGAGAGAGCGGCCGACTTCTCCCCCTCCTGGTCCTTCTGCACGGCCTGCAGGACCAGCTCCTTCTGAAGAGAGGAAACAGGAAGTGGCATCACTGAGGTGCAAAACACATCGCAGAGTCATGTGTGACGGCACATAGCGAGCAGGCGTTAACTCACACTCACTCTCACACACACACACACACACACATGCGTACATTTGCTCAGTCAATCACACGTTATTCATGGTTCTGTGCAGCAACAGACACACATGCCACTCTCTCTCTTTTTATATCCGCTCACCGCTTTCACTATGCTCTCTGCGCTCGGCATGTGCTCCAGATCCACAAAGGGGTGGGCGAAGAACTCTGCAAAGGTGATCCGGGCGTCTGGGTTTCTGTCGAGCAGCCGCAGCAGAAGGTCTCTGCAGTCCTTGGAAACCCTGGCCCCGGGAGGGAGCTAATGCACAAAAACACGACCTTATTATGTTCCACTCGATCCACAGGACGACGCAGGGGGAAAAAGGAGAGCAGATTGTTTGCCGGAGACCTTTTCTAGTCTCCCACTTTTTATCAAAAGATGACCTTAAACACTTTGTGAATCCCGGAGTAATGGTGCGCACGCTAATGCAGCCCATTGAGCTCCAGCGTCACGTTCGACACAGAGCATTAAAAAGCCCTCCATCGTCACATCGTTTACTGCCCACACGCTGATTCAAGTTTGTTTTATATTCAGCCGACAAATCAGGACAAAGACACAACTACGACTTTTCAGTTGAAGCCTTGAAACATCTCCTCCACCCACCCACACTCACCTCATCCGTAATATTATGTCTAATCTTAAATTGGAAAAGATCAGATATTCTGTTGAACTTTCATAGGACTTGGGAAAGTTTTGTTAATTTTGTGAAGCAATTAAATGGGCTACAATTAGACTGATGAGTATTCAGCAGATTAATTAAACATGTTTTGACTGACAACTTTCTAATTATTGTGCAACTGGAATCTCCACCCCATCACCCCCCCCCCCCACCCCCCTTGTAAGTCTGTTTGTGTCTCTTTATCTCTTGTCCTGTCTATTGTCTGTATGCTTGTTGTCCTTGTGTTTGTGCTTTCTTCTGGACTTTTATTATTATTTTATCTTTTATTACTTTTTTTTGTTTCACAGTTCGAGTGTGGGGTTGTTCACACTCATTTCTGTATCTACCTACTATGGATGTTTTGGTTCTAATGTGCTTGTTGTGCCATCTAATTGCATTGTGAAGATGCATCCAAGAAAACTCAATAAAAACAATTTTGAAAGAAGACTTGAAACATCCCATTAACACATCACACATATTCATAATTACAGATATTCTAATGAGATAATAAGTTCTTGTTTCAGCTGAACAACTCTATCTACTGCCGGTGCACCTTAGAACAACGTGTGAAAGGGGGCCCTCTAGTGGTTAAAAGCTGAACTCCCCCCTAATACTAAGCAGTACCGTCAGTGAACCTTGACACCGTGACCCCGAACAGGAGAAACGGTGTAGATAATGGATGGATGCCTAGGACTTCTGTTTTAGTTGCTGAAACAGGTTTCTTAGATTTTTACTAGAACCGTTCTGAAGTTTACAAACCTGGTATCTTGACAAGAAAATATAACATTGACTTTTGCTGAAGTGGAAAACCTAAGCCTTGCTATTTAACATGTTTCTGTCACCTTTGGACCCTGAAGCACTTTCACTAGAGTTACAGCGTTGGCATTGAGTCATTCATATTAACCAGCAGGACGGCCGATGATCAAACACTCACCTCGATAGGTTGGTTACTCCGAATCTTTTCCTCCAACTCGGCGTACGACCTTGATGCGAAGGGAGCTCGCCCAAACAGAGCCTCTGTACGCAAACAAACAAACGATGTTAGAATGACTATTAAAGAAAACAAAGACCTGAAGTGATCACAGAGAAACGTTTTTATTCCTTTGAATAAAGACAAAGTGGATGCATGTTTATAACGCTTACGCTGCGTTTCTATTTATAACCATTGTGTGAATTATTCTGCTTTCAATCTCAGATTACAAACGTATAAAGACAAATGTACTCCTTCTACAAATGCTGATAAATAACGTGATCAAAATAATAAGCTAATAGTTTGTACATCCGCAGCATGCTGTCGTTCTTTAATGAACCAGTAGCCCCTTTTCAGACGCCACTTCTGCAAAAGAGTCGTCACCACGTCTTTGTATATTCATATTGATCCTGCGACGGCACAAGGTTAGCGTCCCAGTCTGTGAATTCACATGGCGTTTGTCATTGCAGAAGCATTACACAGCGGGAGCTCCACACACACACACACACACACACACACACACACACACACACAGCGCTGCTCTCTCCTGCTGGCTCAGCTGATCCCTTCTGGACTCTGTAACGCCTCTGAAGACGGTACAGAGGGGGATCCCTTTGTCCCCACATTACGCCTCCATGACATTTAGACTGAAGTCCAAACGTCTCAGGGGCGTAAAACGGCGGTCTGAAGAGGTCTAATAACACCAGGCCGATGAATGTCACATTTCTCACTTTTAAAGGCTGCCAGGCGACACTCACCGTAAAGGATGACTCCCACCGACCACAGGTCGACCCTGGAGTCATACTGACGTCGACACACCATCTCAGGCGCCATGTAGAGAGGAGAGCCTCTCAGGGCGCTCTGCTCGTCCCACGGAGACATGTACTGAGCGAAACCGAAATCTGAGACCAAACAAAGCAGAAGTCAGACAACCTGTTTAAAAAAAATGGTGTTTAACAAACATAAAAGGTCAGTTTGATTATTTTTTGTTTTGTTTGTTTCATTTTTAAAGAAATTCTTGGAACAAATTTTGTTCTGAAATGTTTTTGTTTTATTTGTAACCAAACTAGTAGTGTCTTAAATAATAAGATTTGTAACGAGGGGAGGTGTAATAATCTAAAGCTTCAGTCTACAAAATGTTTTTGTTTTTACTTGTGACCGAAATAAATGATTACTACTAAAAGAGATTCTCCCTGAAGGTGTGTTAAACTGCTGAGAGTGTGACGTTTAAAAAAATATATAGTCGTATCCAAAATGTCGACAACCTTATAAATGACACAATGATTTAGCTCCTCTGAGGTGTGTGTGAAGTCGATGGAGTCATATGTAGCAGTCGTTTGATTTGTCGTCTGTGAGGGTGGACGTGAGATCACCTGCTAGTTTGAGGACCGAGTTGCTGAGCAGAATATTCTGGGGCTTCAGGTCCAGGTGAGAAATGTTTCTCTCATGAAGAAACTGGAGTGCACAGGCTGTTTGTGCACACACACACACACACACACACACATGCACACACGCACACACACACAGAGAGAGAGAGAGAGAGAGAGAGAGAAAAAGTTAAGTTTAAGAGAGTTGATTATACAACTTCTTCAAATCTATTTCCCTGTATGCACGGCAGGAAGGGCGAGGACTCGGTGAGATTAAAACTTTTGAAGAATCACTCTGATTGGCTCACAACGCAGACTGTTTACATTGAAGGTTCCCAATCTCTGACAGAGCAGTTAGATGGACTGGGGGGTTATTACACACCTTATGGCGATCCTCTTTTAATCCAAAGTATTTCAGGATAGCACACCAAATTCTTATTTCTGCTTTTCTTCATTGCTGCAGACGTTTCGAGCGAGGCCCTTCTTCAGTGGCTTCAGGCTCCGACTGACGGGTCGACGTGCAGCGACAGAGGTGGACATACCGCAAAAACTAGAGCGACGATCGCTCACCGATGGTCCAACTAGGACCGACGGTGAGCGATCTCCTTGGTGTGTCAGGGCCTTTAGAAAGAGACGTCTTCCTTCTAATCACGGTAATGACGTGGAAAAATAGCCTTTCAGCGGTGGTGTTGATTTAAAATACGGAGACGCCCAGTCTGAGACCGAGTCAAAATCCTTTCGATTCAAAGATGAGACCTTCAAAAAGTGGTCTGGTATTGGGACCAAGATCGATTTGGAGTACTGCAACACTATTGGGGGCCCCTGGTTTGCAAATAGAACTGTGGTGATTTATTTTATTGCATTGTTTTATTAACCCGTTGTGATCTTAACTAAACTCACCCATCTGCTGCAGGAAGCGGCGTGCGACCCTCTCGGGTAAGAGTCTGCGGCTGCGGATGAAGCTGGAGAGATCTCCACCAGAACACCACTCCAGGATGAGATAAATGTTCTCAGCGTCCCACTGAGAGAAAAGAAGAGATAAAACATGAATCATAACGTCTCCGTTCATGTTTCCACCTTCTTATCGATGACTTGTTTATATGTACGTCATATATATATATGTATACATACAGTATATATATATATATATATATATGACTTGTATACCTGAAAGTCTTTTAACTGGACGATGTGAGGATGGCGCATCGTCTTGAGGATCTCGATCTCCGTCAGCAGGTTTTCTGTCGACGATTTGTTCAGAGTTTTCTTCGCGACCACCTTCACCGCCACCGCCTCCCGACTGTCGCCCTGCGAAGACGCAAGAGATCTTCACTTCAACTTTTGAGGACAAAACGAGACCGAAGTTCAAATAATACTTCCAAACTCAGAAACTGGGACCATCAGAGGAGCAGCATTAAACCGTCTCTGGGAAAGATCGGTTTGTAAAACAGAGGAGGGACGACCAATAGATACGATTTACATACATCCAATCACACGGCTCGATTTAAACACAGACACACAGTTACAAAGAAACATTCTCTGAGTTGTTATCCCTCCCTGATCCGATCGCTGCTTCTCTAATAGAAAAGTTCTGTTTGGATTTCGAGCAGAAACATTGATGGAGTGGAAAACGTCTGTGGTTAAACGAGGAGTCAGCTGTCTCTCCCTCTCCCCCCCCCCCCGACTCACCTTCCTGTAGGCTTTGTAGACCGTAGCGTAGGTGCCGCTGCCCAGCCGCTCGGTGAGGATGAAGCCAGACAGTTTTGGTGGAGCGAAGCTGGAGGTCGACGCCATGGCAACAGCGACATCAAATGTGCAAGCAGGCTGTGGCTGCAAAGTAAGAAAGGAGAAGATACTATTCATAACTTATAATCCCTTCTTCCAGGTGAAGGCGGTATCGAAGGCCGTGGCGTTCATCTTTGGGTGGTTTCACAGTTAAACCCTGTTTCTTCTTTTTATTAGATTGTTTGATTTCCTTCTCATAATCACCCTCTGTTTTGTTTTTACAATTTTAATCATTAGGCGGGAGTCTGTTTTTCACAACTAGGTTGAAGGAACAGGGTTCGATCCCCAGCTCCTGCAGCAACATGTCCGATGTGTCTGTGGGACATGTGGCTGCAGGACCCGGGGATCGAACCCTTGATCTTCCCATTGAGAGACATCGACGCTGCCAACTGAGCTTCAGCTGCCGCCAATAACAATATCTAATTTGTACAGTCAAATATTCTTTCTGGTGTAAATTAAAGGAATCTTACTGCATTCATATTGTAAAGAAAATGTCTGCCTGGTTTCTGGTTAAAGTGGGAAAAAGATCACAGAACAGAATCTGCCGTCAGGGTGTTGGTGAATGCCTGATAGTATCTTGAGACACCACGTAGCCTTGATCCATGACTTTAGAACCGTGAAGCATAGCATATCTACTGAACTGATCCTGAAGGAATAACTCTTTATCAAAGAGGTCGGAGTCCACTTCCTGTCTGATCAACATTAAAGCCTTCAGATGCTGTGTGAAGTCGACAAGCTCATGAGAATACCATCCATAACTCAAAGACACTTAGACTTCATAATGCCTCAAACCAAGATGGAAATAAAACACAATCGAATCAAATCGATAACCCTCGTCGTCGCTGCCTTCTGATCTTCCTCCTCTGCCTGCTGCAATTCAAACTTCATGAACCCTCTCTAGTCTCTTTTGAGTCGTCATGATGAGATCTTTTCTTGGTATTACAAGAAACTGAGACTACTGGGGCGCGCTGGTGGCGCAATGGTTAGGGCGCGCGTCCCATGTGTTGAGACTCTCGTCTCGAGCGGTAGGCCCGGGTTCGCTTCCACCCGTGGTCCCTTTCTGCATGTCATTCCCCGCTCTCTCTCTCTCTCTGGTTTCTGACTCTATCCACTGTCCTCTCTCTCTCTGGTTTCAGACTCTATCCACTGTCCTCTCTCTCTCTCTGATTTCTGACTCTATCCACTGTCCTCTCTCTCTCTGGTTTCTGACTCTATCCACTGTCCTCTCTCTCTCTCTGGTTTCAGACTCTATCCACTGTCCTCTCTCTCTCTCTGGTTTCAGACTCTATCCACTGTCCTCTCTCTCTCTCTGGTTTCTGACTCTATCCACTGTCCTCTCTCTCTCTCTGGTTTCTGACTCTATCCACTGTCCTCTCTCTGCATTAAAGGCACAAAAAGCCCAAAAAAGAAATCTTTAAAAAAAGAAATTGAGACTACTGCATCAGTCTCATCGTCCAAAACACTAAAGCAACTACTGCTTCTCACACACTCCCTCACCAGAGACCACATCACCCCCGTCCTTCATAACCTCCACTGCCCCCACCTGTCTGAGCTCCTCTACTCACTCTCTGCTGATCCAAACCTCCTGTCCCGACTCGCCCCCCCCCCCCCCCATCAGTCCTGGGGGGACAGAGCCTTCTCCATTGCCACGCCCACCCTCTGGAACTCACCCCCAAAAACAATCAGAGACCCCCCCATGACCTACAACCACTAACACACTCTGTCCTCATCCTCCTTCTCTTACATTATGTCTCTGTTGTTTTGTTTTCACTGTTTTGTTCTGTTGTTGTTCTTTGAGTTATTAGAAAAGCACAATAAAGGTCTAATATATTATTATTATTATTTTTATTAAACTCTGCAGATTTGTCTCCCCACATGAATGCGATGTGCTTCCTATATGGAAGCGCGTTGCATTCATGTGGGGAGACACATGAGTACATATTTGCTCTGAATAATAAATTAAAGCCTGTCTCATTTCACCCCCCTTCCCAAATGAAGGCTCTGTCACTTCATACTGAAACCAATAAAAGTATTTTCCCTCTTTAAACTAAAAACTCCTCAAAGTGTTCAGCAGATCATCTTCTATATTAGAAATGTTTTCTAACAGAATGAATCAGGTGATCCTTCAATAAAGCCTGTGGACTGCATGCACATCATTTCTGTCTTCACCTGCAACCTATCAAAATAAAACTTTATCATATTTACAGCCACGAAAGAGTCACACAAAGAAATAAAAAACAAGGTATGATCTATTTTTATATATAGATATTTAAACAAAACACAACTTTATGACATCAGTTTGTTTTCTGTCACACCGACTCATTAAAGGTCTTATTGTGACTTTAATTTATCTCTCTGAAGATAAATGGAGTAGTTAGATTGATTTAAATAAATGTTATTCCTCAGTTTGGGAGCTAGCCACAACTTTTAGCCGGCTAACTTCTCAGATGTAAAGTATTTATCTGTTTTTTTAAACAGCTTCAGTTAAAGTTCAGGTAGGAGGATTTATTCGTGTTCTTTTAACTCAAATATAAACATATATAAAGAGCTGACTCTTACTTGTAGGCTGATAAATCCAGGAGAGAACATGCATGAGTATTTACATCGCTGCTTCACGCTGCTCTGCAGAGATCAGCTGATCACCTCTTCTTCTTCTTCGTTTTTTTATTGGCGGTTGACAAACTACGAATTGGTGCATTACCGCCACCAGCTGGTAGGGAGCGGAACTAATGTAATCTAACGTGTCAACCATAGACTGTAAATATATGAATATTAATATCAACTTCTCTAATAAATATGAACTCACTCAATTATTTTTCAGAATGTTAAAGACTCCATCACTAAGATATGTAGTGAATTAAATGATAAAATAACCATAGTGAGTGAGTACAGCCAGTCAATTCAATTCAGAAAGCTTTATTGTCATGAGTGTTACATAAACAATATTTCCAAAGTATGAATACAAAACAAAATAATATCAACAGTAATCAATGATGTAGCATGTCTATGTTTACAGCTTATGATGGACACACACAGTAGAATATAATGTTCCGGTTGCTTTACAACAGTCTAGTTTCCGTTAAATTGCAGTTGAGTTAAAAAATAATCTGTTATTGATTTTAAAGTTGTGTTTTTTTAACACTATTTTCTGCTTGTATGATTTGTTGTAAAAGTAATCTCACACCCGTATATTCATTAATTCACATTTCATAAATAAACAACAAAAACAAAACTAAAAATTAAAAATAACCCTAACCCAATTTATATTTTTTCCAAATTAAGCTTTTTTTTTTTTCTTTTTTTTGGATAAAAATACTGGATACTGGATAAAACAAATACGACGGAGGATTAGGGCCACGTTAAAAAAAAATAGGAGATTAAAGTCGTAAATTTACTAGATTAAAGTCGAAATTAAAAAAAATTAAAAATTAAATTTACGACTTTAATCTCGAAATCTCGTAAACAAATATTTATGAATATCCATATTTCTTTAGGGGGATATCTTAAATAATATCATATATTTAAATGTGTAGTTTTGCTCTCTTTCTTGTTCAGCTGTTATTTCCAAACCCCTCACCGGAAGTCAGCTGTCATCCCTACATGATGGTCCTTTAAAGATGGCGGAGCGCTTGGCTGCACGTTTGACCGCACAAGAGGAGCAGATTCTCCTCCTCACCACGGAGATATCCGCTCTCAGGGACGGGTTGATCCGAGGTGTGGATACCGCGGCTGTCACCTCTGTCTCCCCGGAGCTGGAGAGCCTGCAGACCGAGAACGAGAAGCTGAAATACCGGCTGCTGCACCTCCGGAGGGGTCTGCGGCGGGAGGAGGGGGCGCTGCAGGAGGTACAAGGGAAGAAACTTCCAGGAGTGAAGAATGAGAAAGCTCTGCAGAAAACTACCAGTGCAGAGCAGACGACTAACAACCGAGCTGATAATAAGGTAGGAATAAACATGTGTAGGCCTACAGTGATTGTTAATTTGGTGTTGCACCAGGTTGCATCACGGGCCTCTCTCACGTGGAGCCAAATGACAAACTATAACACCCCCTCTCCAGGAATAGCTGCCTACCTCAGTGCTACAGTCTGTGCACACTTTAGATACATACTGCCATGTTCACTGATATAATATGAAGCCCAAAGTTAAACACGAAGGAGATCACAGCTCCAGAAAAACAAACTGAGACCAAAATCAAATCTGTTTTTTCTCTAGTTCCATTATTTACAGGTGTGTCAAATAATCTCATTAAGGTGTTTTTTATTTCTCATAAAACAAAAATATATATATATATATAAATAAATATATATATATATATATATATATATATATATATATATATATACATATAAACAAAACATGGGTTAGGGCTGGGCAGTAATATTCCATATTGCCACAAATGGTATAGTAATGTGCATAACAAGTAAGACAAACAAGTCTCTGTGGCAGTAATACCTGATATAGTGCAATAGCCCATCCCCCCCCCTCCCATCCCCAGCTGTCCTGAAAAAATGAAGGCGTAACATCTAAGAGTTAGTTTGCAGCGCACCACACAGAGTCAGATCAACAATCAATATTTAGTGGAATAACTTTCATGTTTAATCACAGCTTTTATGCGTCTTGGGCTTGGCGTGCCCTTCAGTCTTTCACATTACTGTTTGCATGGACGGATCATCATGACCACCGACCCTGGACTCAAACAAGCCTCGGACCCCTACCAGTACCTACACACACAAATGTTACATGTGCTCTGCGGGAGCCCTGCGCCATAACCCGGTCTGGGTTCTTCACAGAAAACCAACCCCTAAATGTTGGAATGTTAACTTTCTGTTTCACATTCTGGTCCTCATTCTGGTCCTCATTCTGGTCCTCATTCTGGTCCTCGTACAGTCTTAAAGGTAAAACAGTGAACTACATGTGGAACTTCTTTATCTGATGACTCATATGAGCAGTATCTCAAAGTTATTGTTCCTTTCTTCCTTTTGTAAACATCAAATACAGTTGTGCTCATAAGTTTACATACCTTGGCAGAATTTGTGATTTTGTTGGTCATTTTTCAGAGAATATGAATGATAATACAAAAATATTTCTTTCACTCATGGTTAGTGGTTGGGTGAAGCCATTTATTATCAAACAATTGTGTTTGCTCTTTTTAAATCATAATAACAACAGAAACTACCCAAATTACCCTGATCAAAAGTTTACATACCCTGGAGGTTTTGGCCAGATAACATACACACAAATGGCTACTGAAGGTAACCTGCCTCACCTGTGATCTGTTTGCTTGTATAAAAAGTCAGTGAGTTTCTGGGCTCCTGACAGACCCCTGCATGTTTCATCCAGTGCTGCACTGACGTTGCTGGATTCTGAGCCATGGGGAAAGCAAAAGAATTATCAAAGGATCTGCGGGAGAAGGTAGTTGAACTTTATAAAACAGGAAAAGGATATAAAAAGATATCCAAGGATTTGAGAACGCCAATTAGCAGTGTTCAAACTCTAATTAGGAAGTGGAAAATCAGGGATTCTGTTGAAATCAAGCCATGGTCAGGTAAACCAACAAAATTTCAGCCACAACTGCCAGGAAAATTGTTCGGGATGCAAAGAAAAACCCACAGATAACTTCAGCTGACATACAGGACTCTCTGTTTCAAGATGCACAATAAGGAGGCACTTGAAGAAAAATGCGCTGCATGGTCGAGTCGCCAGAAGAAAGCCATTGCTACGCCAATGCCACAAAGCAGCTCACTTACAATACGCCAAACAGCACAGAGACAAGCCTCAAAACTTCTGGAACAAAGTTATTAGGAGTGATGAGACCAAAATGGAACTTTTTGGCCACAACCATAAACGCTTCATTTGGAGAGGAGTCAACAAGGCCTACGATGAGTACACCATTCCTACTGTGAAACACGGAGGTGGATCGCTGATGTTTTGGGGATGTGTGAGCTACGAAGGCACAGGGAACTTGGTCAAAATTGATGGCAAGATGAATGCAGTATGTTATCAGAAAATTCTGGAGGAAAATTTGCACTCATCAGCCCGGAAGCTGAGCATGGGGCGTAATTGGACGTTCCAACATGACAATGATCCAAAACACAAGGCCAAGTTGACATGACATTGGCTACAGCAGAGAAAAGTGAAGGTTCTGGAGTGGCCATCTCAGTCTCCTGACCTTAATATCATTGAGCCACTTTGGGGAGATCTAGAAACGTGCAGTTCATGCAAGACAGCCCAAGAATTTACAGGAACTGGAGGCTTTTTGCCAAGAAGAATGGGCAGCTTTACCATCTGAGAAAATTAAGTGCCTCATCCACAACTACCACAGAAGAGTTCAAGCTGTAATTGATGTCAAAGGGGGCAATACAAAGTATTAAGAACTAGGGCATGTAAACTTTTGATCAGGGTAATTTGGGTAGTTTCTGTTGTCATTATGATTGAAAAAGAGCAAACACAATTGTTTGATAATAAATGGCTTCACCCAACCACTAACCATGAGTGAAAGAAAAGTTTTTGTATTATCATTCATATTCTCTGAAAAATGACCAAAAAATCACAAATTCTGCCAGGGTATGTAAACTTATGAGCACAACTGTAGTTTGTAGTTCCAGGTAGCACATAGAAACAGCTGTTTGCAGATTGCAGCTCGCTCCCTCGTTGACTGTCCCTTCCCTTTCCTGAAAAAAAACCACAAAAAGCAAGACTGCTAAACAAAATGTTTCAATCGCAAAAATGCCTAAAATTAAAAAAAATATTGAAGGCCAAGACTCCCCTTCACCAGGGATCAACCTGTGACTGTTGGGTGATGTGGACGCAAAAATTGAAGCTGCTCAGCTTTGGTTCGATGAAGTCTTTTTCAGACGAAGACCAAATCAGTGAGTCAATAAGTAGAAGGAGGTTTTGTCTGTGTCGACATTCAACAGAATTTTGCTTCCATGCGTGCAGAGATTCTGATTTAAGGAACATCTGGAGAAGTCGGGTCATGTTTATGCAGAGCTGCGAGGCCTCTAGTAAGAATAAATCTCACACGCACACTCACCCTTCTCTTTCTGTGGACAGGTGCCGCCTCCAGATAAAAAAACAGCTGATGGAAACAACAAGAAGCAGGAGAAGGGAGGAGGAGGAGGAGGAGGAGGAGTGAAAGAGGTAATTATTGTGCAAGAGCTTGAAATGATTCATATAATAACAAAAGGATGTTTTCACTGTGGTCTCTGTCTCTAACGACTCGAGAAGAGACAGATCGATGCTCTTTTTTATTTATTTTATAACCAGGGAAATCTAGTCGACATTAAAAATCTCTTTTTCATGAGAGCCCAAATATTGACCAACACAGAGCAGCCATACATACCAACATAATACAAGGTACATAATTATAATACATTAAAAATATTTGTCAATATCGTCTAAAAACATTTAAAACTCCTCCTTTGTTTTGACTCTGAGGAAGACAATGAAAAGTTCGTCCTTTGTATCTTCATAAACTTGCCGTCAGTGATCGATGTGTTCCAGAACTTTCTTTGGATTCTGCCTGTGAATTATTTCTGAGGTCCTCTGTCCTCCTCTGAGGGCACCGACCTCGATCTGTGGAGGGGCTGGAGTGCAAGAGTTTGACTTCTAGTTTGTCGTCATCACTCGGCTACGTTTCATGTCTTTTGT